TTATGGTAGGTTTATTGCCTTATGTGTGTTTATGGTAGGTTTATTACCTTACGTGTGTTTATGGTAGGTTTATTACCTTACGTGTGTTTATGGTAGGTTTATTACATTACGTGTGTCTATGGTAGGTTTATTACCCTACGTGTATTTATGGTAGGTTTATTACTCTACGTGTGCTTATGGTAGGTTTATTACCTTACGTGTGTTTATTACTGGACATTAATAACCATTTCACGAGGTAAGTTGATGCATTTTTTTCTAAATGCGAAATAATAATCATCTTTCCAGCTTATTTTCAAAATATAATCTAGGGCATATTGTCGATAAGTATCCCGGTGTATATTTCAGAGGTATATCTTGAACGCGTATCTTTTTAAAACTAACAATGTAGTGATTTTTATTTAAAGGCACATTATGCCTCAGAAATCCTTTTTTATTAAATTCTTTACTAATTTTAAATACATGTTTAATAATGTTTTAATAATGGATTTAGAACATGTAAGATATTTAACAGCTGAAGAAAGTAGTGCTGAATGTGCAGTAATGTGTTGTAAAGGTAGCAAAATGTAAATAAATAGTATTTTGACTTCCATACAAAATACTAATTCATTATAATTATACCAATTGCCAGCAAAGCAAAAGATATAAAGATAGTTCATTTATATAATATATGGCAGATAAGTATTTTTTGTGAAACTTGTAACAAGACACCAAATATTTAAAATTTTGAGAAATAAAAATGATAGCATTTCTGACGCATAATGTGCCTTCAATAATTACGCTAGAATATTATGTTCATATACGTGTACTGATTTACTGAATGATTTACTGGTCAAAATCTCATGTAAAACGAAGGCATTGTTTAAAGTAAAAAAACAGAATAATTTGATCATTGTTTCAGATTTGTCCATGCAGAAAATGGCGATTACTTTCCACTGGAGTCAACACTTTTATAATAACTGCATTTTCAGGTTTTGAAAAAAAAAGATCGAGATGATATATAAATATTTAAAAAAAAGTTCTGTAGATTGTTTTATGTTTTGTTTTGCTCTTTTTCAGGTATGCTCATTTTATTATTTGAAATAAATAATAAACTGGGCATGCGCGAGAAAGTGTACTGATACCTCATTTAGAGCACCCCAAAGCGTACTGATACCTCATTTAGAGCACCCCAAAGTTTTCCAATACCGAAATTTAGAGAACGCCTATCTTCAAAGGAAAGTTGTGGCGGTCATGCGATAAGGTAGGTTTATTACCTTGTGTGTTTATGGTAGGTTTATTACCTTACGTGTGTTTATGGTAGGTTTATTACCTTATGTGTGTTTATGGTAGGTTTATTACCTTATGTGTGTTTATGGTAGGTTTATTACCTTACGTGTGTTTATTTCAGGTTTATCAGCCCACGTGTGTCTACGGTAAGTAAATCATATTATATCATTATGAAAGGTATTATAATTATATTGCCAATGTCTATGGTATTTTTTTTGTTCTTCCTCTAACGTATGTTTATGGTAGATTTACTTGATAGCATGTTAAAGGGACTCCACCAAGTTTTTTTTTTGACATGACGGGACTGGAAATATTTTTTTGAGATTATTACTCCATCTGATGTAGGTCTATACCAACAAATTATGTGCATAATTTTAGATCATTAGCTCGGTTCATTTTTCCAGATAAATTGTTTTAATTTTCAAAAATGACCTAAAATTGAAAAGCGTTTAAACGCTTTTCGCTAAAATCGGACTGAGAATAACACACATACGATTTTCAGTTTATTTCTAGATATATTTCTTAATTATCTTTTGTATATATTTCCGTTTTAGGTGCCCCAGTTGATCTATGTAAGAAATAAAAATTTTATGGTTTTAGGCTTATGAACCACAGCGGAGTTCCTTTAATGGCCGGACCTTTATTTCCTTACGTTCTCGCGGTAGTCATGTTAGATGAATCATTTGTTTCTCAGAATCAAATTAGATGCCACTTCATTGTTTCTAATACCTAACCTATACTTAAAAGATCATTATTCTCCAGAAATGCTATTTTATTTCATTTCTCAAAAGCTTTTTATTTTGGGTTTCCAAAAAGTTACTAATTGTCCAATACCTTGTTGCCTATTTGCAATATGGCAATAAGTACAATCTATAATTTAATATGTTGTATGAGAGTCAAAATACTCCTTTTTACATTTTGCTACGTTTATGACAAATATTATTTCACATTCAGCGCTACTTTCTTCCATTGATAAGCATTTAACATGCTCTAAACCCATTATTGAAACGTGTTTGCCCTATCTAAAAAAGTAAGAAAACAGTAGCTAATCCTTTCATGAACATAATGTGCCTTTAAAACAATTACTATATATACATTTAATTTATTTGAATATGTATAAATATTATCTGAATACATATAAATATTTAATAAATATTAAAAGTATACATATAGACAGTTTGAGAAAAATTATTGGCATTCTGAATAATCGAACAAGACGTATGATTCATTTAAAAATTGGGTTACCTCCCTTTGCTTGCAACAGTTACTACTTGCGCATACTTTCGGGGTTTTGTGATCATTATAACTTTGCTGTTGTTTTTTTTCCTTGCATGGAACAATTTCTGTCGTGCGCAACTCCTTCTATACAATTTGCAGGGAATTTTGTCCAAACTTTCAGAAAAGCTTTGTTATCAAGTAACCTGGCGCATAGTATTTTGATAATGTTTCACCCATTTAGGGCACTCTGTTGTTGTTTTTTTCCTTCCATAGAAAATATTTAAGTTGAAAAACTTGTTTTATCGCATTGCGATTTTTCTTGTTACATATTATTATTATTATAATTATTATTATGCATGCATGCTGCATGTGTGTGTGTTGTATAAATTTTACAAGTTTTGACAAAAATGATATTTATATGTTCTGCACACGATGTTTTCTGTCATTATTTTGTTAAAACTATTCTCCAGTACTGTAGATATGTTATATCTGCCATGGCTGCTTGGTGATGGATGTGTATATTTGAACATACATGCAGATATGTGAAGCTGGCGTCCTAGCGGCGTGAAGTTGACGGCCTAGCGGCCCTGCGGCGTGAACGACGTGAAGTTGACGGAACTGGGTAGCGTGTAATTTTGCCGATAAAATCAAGGGAATGGATAATTGTAGTCTTAAAATTCTGCTCCGTACAGGTTTTCAGCAGGACAACTTTTTAATATGTGATCTGCTACAAGTTTATTCATATTTAGGACGAAATCTGCTATAGTCTTATTTATATTTCATGACAAAATCTGTACTAATGGTACAGTATAGGTTAGACGGATATACAAAATGTAAATTAAAAATATTAATTACATGTATAAGAGAAAAAATATTTGCCACATTTGATCTATATAAATCATTCTGAAAGATCTGACTCGAAAATATTTTTCTAAATTCTTATAATTAGGCCTACGTAATTTGATTAATTAGAAATTTTAAAATCGATATTTTAATTAATTAGATCATATTATACAGTAGCCATCCTGCATAGATCTAGAAAAATCCAGTTCTGTCCAGATGCGCTTCTAGAATAACAATGATAACGACCGATTTAAATCTGTTTTCTACATAAACAAATTATTTCATCCGTGTCAAGACAAAAGAGAAAGGGTTGCCGATAAACAGTGGAATTTTTTTAATCTATTTATAGCATTGATATATATCCTGTCTCGATTGTCCTAAAATGGAAGAATTCTCAACCAGGTCATCATCATTAAGTATGATCGAGTTTCGCATTTAAAGTAAAAATCTTAATTTCTGAAATTACCTAGCTCAGTTTTGGCGGCTTAGACACAAACTTTACCTCATACATGACCAAATTATAAAATATTTCGTCTGTCGAAAAGAAAGGCATGGTGGCGACTTAATACATGCAGTTTCCAAATATTTCCAATTAAATAATCTAATACACTTCAAGTTGTCACTATGCAGCTTAAATTTATATAAATATGTTTAAACTCGAGTTATTTTAAGCTCTGAAAAATCTGCTCTTGTTTTCGTGTGTTAAACATACTGAAAATTGAGGAAACGGTTGTTTAAAGCGGACCCTGGATGATATACAATGTTAGCACTCTTTGCATGCTTATTGTGGGCTGTTGCCCTCACCCTCTCGTGTCTCCCGTTTTATTATAAGTTCATTTTCAAAACTTCATCAAAAAAACACTTTGAAACAGATAAGCATTGATCTGGAACACAAAAATGTTTATTTTTGGTCTTATATTTAGCTCCATGCAGTCGTAACTTAACATAATGCTTGCACGTACACTCATTAAGTTTTTGAGTCCGCTAAACTAGATTCTACCCAATGTCAAAAGTTAAAATCGATTTAATTAACAAGAAGTTAATTAAATTTTAATTTACAAAGATGTATATCGAAAAAAATCACCGTATGTGTTTATAAAAAATTGCGATTACGACATCGTTCAAATCACGTGTCAAATCCTTTTGTATATTCTACGGACAAACAAATCGAACGAGAAAAAATTTCCGATGAAGCCCAACTATATCCAAATGAAAATTTTCCACTACGTCACTCGCATACATAATGTTATGGAGTATAGAAATAGTCGCAGTGTGTGTGAGGAAATAATATTAATTCTAGTGTTAAACAAAATTTGATACAAAATGAGATTTGGCAGGGTTTTGTTTCAAAGAGTGGCTGAACTAGTGGACCACTATTCGCAGTATCATCCGTCACCATTGTCGATGAAAACGCTTGTGGATTTTGGTAAGTTGCGCTGAACCCGTGTGTTTTATTTGTTCCCTTCATGTTACCCCCGGGTGTGAAATGTTCTATTTTAGGTAAAATTATTTTTTTACTAAAATTTTTTTCTAGAATTTAAACCAATAAGACTTTTAAATCTTATTTTTTGATATGTTTTAAATCGAAATCTTGTCGAACGTGATAGATTTCCTAATTTTTTATTCATTTTAGTTAAAATTGGAAACCTTATGAAGGTGAAGGTCACACTTCCGGATGAGAAAAAAAATAAACAACATACCTTGAAAAGCGTCTATTTTCTTGAATGTTTCAATATTTCGCTGTTTGAAAAAGTTTTTTAGTGCTTACAAGCATTGTATATGTAGAAAGTCATCATGACAAAATTGTTAAAGACCAATTTTATTCTTGAGCATAACATTAGAAAAATCTTCCCTAACTCGAGTATGACATTGCAATTTCTGCAAATAAGAAAATATGCAAGTAAAAAACCTCGAATAAATAGCTTTGTAAAGGACGGTATGAGTTCTAAGGTTGCAAATAATTTTGATAAATTTGCTGGATTCAGACCATCTGCGTTGTCTCTTCAAAAACTGATAAATTTTGGTGAGTTTCTTTATTCAGATATTTTAAAACTGATAATCATTTTTGTTATGTTTAATATAAACCAGATCTACTGGTCAGGGACCATCAACCGGACACTTTTTGTACATTTTTCTATACAAATTTCATAATTTTAAAGCTAAAGGTACGAAAATTTGACACAGTACAGCTAGGTTCTTCTCCTAACTAACAAACTAGTTTGTTTAGTTCTGATTATGTTGACACTTATATCCGAGGCCCGTCAAGGAGGGTATCAAAATTACCTAAATTGTACATACTACAGTACCATGCGTCCGGACAGATATGTAATAATGTTGATTTAATTCAGATAAAAGCTTTGGTGTTCTTTTTTTTATTTTTAACATGACACACAATATTTCAGCAGCAAAATTGCTGAAGTTTTGGATATTCTATTGTTTACTTTGCAAATAATTATTGCTGTTATATGAGGTCAGGCATTGCTTTCTTGACCCCCAAATGTCAACGTCAACATTCTTGAAATAGACATTAAAATATTACCATTTACGGAGATTGAAATAAATTTATTTACTTAATTATAGAAGAAACATGCATTTATTGTTGATAAAAAAAGTGACTGACAACCACTGAACAAAGAAAATTCTAAATCAAGCATTTTCGGGCCATCCGGGTTTGGTGGTTGTCCAGTTTTGGTGGTCCCCAACCAGTATGCATTCTGTTAATTACATAGTCTACATGTACGCTTTCAATACTTTGAACAACTTCAATCATTTCATTCGGGGACAAATAAATATGAAGCTCCTAACCCCACAGCCTAGCTAGTCCTGTAAATGTATTATGTACACCTCATTTTCAAATGTCATAAAAATCTTCTCATAAACAGTTAGAGAAATCTATTAAACCAGTTAAATTTCTAAGGAAATAATAAACTTAGTATAATCAAAGGGCTGCAAGCTCTGTGATATTTTCTGATCTTTGCAATTTAAATCGTACTGTATATCTGTATGTTTGTTCCTGTATAAGTTTATTTTTATGTACTATAATTCATTTTGCAGGGCACCAGAGTTTGATACTAACGGAATTTTGCATAACTAGAGTTGCATCAAAAAATCATTTATGTTCATTTTTTATGATAGCCACACTTTATCCTTGGATATCGTGGCTATTTCCTTAACAAAGACACTATAAAAAGAATTAAAAAAATGTTGACTCGACTGGGATTTGAACTCCAGACCTCTCACACACTAAACGAGCGCGTTACCACTGCACCACGGAGAAGTTTTAAAATCAGAGGCTGAATAAAATCCAGTCATTCTAAATTTAGAATTTCCATTGCATTTCGGGTTTTTAAAACAGCACAGGCTGAATAAAATCAAGTCATTCTAAATTTAGAATTTCCATTGCATTTCGTGTTAGGGTAATTTCGAGGTATTTTGTTCAGGGTAAACCTGTTGTTTAAAATTGAAGTAAATAATTTAGCAAAAATCTTCTCGCCCAAACAGTCCAACATGTAGAAACTATATATTCAACTACTCGGCAGTCAGATTAATTTGTGTAGTATTCGGTAATCGACATCGCTAAAAATAGCATTTTCATTGATTAAAATCATATTCATCCGCGTAATTTGTGAGTGTGCATTTACTGACAATTCTATAAGCCAACGCTACTTTTAAAGTTTGAATGTGTAGTAAATTGTTGGACACTTGTAACAAAAAATTGTTCTTTCTTTTAAATTGCTGGTTTTTAAGCAGTTTTGAGTGAGAACTAATTTGCGTTGTTAGGTCTGTTAGGAAATTTTGTGTTAGACCGTGGATGTTAGCTATGTATTTACTGATCTGCGATCAGAAAATACAAAAATTGCTTTCTTCTTTTTAAAAGTACAGGTTTAACCGTTATCACATGTGATCATACACATTAACACAAAATTCAAACTCGAACTTAAATTTTGAAAATTCATCTGTCTGACTTTCTCAACTGGCGAACACTAACATTCATACTTAATTTATGGTTTGTTGTTTAAAATGCCAGATACTAAATGGAATACTTGGAACTATCAAATTATTATTTATTGTATTACAGTCACCTTCCGTTATAGACCAATTAACTTAATGCAACTTCACTTTACAACATCATAAAAAATTATGCAAAAATATGGGCATGACATAGACACAGAAAATTGTTAACATCAAGTAATTCAAATATACGGTACATTTTTCCGTGAATTATTTGTCATGCTGAGACTTTAATTACACAATTACACATGATTTCCTTAACGTTATACAAATATCATATTGCATATCTGCTTTATTTAATAATTGAAATAGAACTACACTTTCATTTTGGAAACACAATCAAAGCATGCAGATCAGATTCTGTAGGGACTTTGTCACTTTGATTTATACTGTATAATACATACAATGTTGTCTGCAATATATGGGAATTTACAATTCATATCCTAACTCACGAAAAAAATATAGGGAAAATGTGAGACCTACCCCAGTCCAGGTACGTATTTTAATATACGTACCTGCCCAGTCCAAGTTAATTTTCTGTCTTCATAACTTCATAAAAGTAGCTTTTTATTTGTGATAAATTCACTGTTTTGAAGGCACAAATTTATGTTATAATTACAAATATGGGCTTTTATTGCAAAAAAAGTAAAATTGAATGTTAAATAAATTAGCTTTATTTTTGTAAGCGTAATAAGTAACAGATTCATATTGTTTGCCCCAGTTACTGGACAGCCAGTATACATGTTAATATAATGTATGATTAAAAAATTGATAATATATTTTTGTTTATCATAGCAACAAACTGTTTGAAAATTATAAATTCTATTAAATTTTATTATCAATAGACTTTAATGAAAATTAAGTGCTACTGTCTGAAATCTAGGCCATGTGGAGAATTCAGAAAAAAGGTGTTTACAGGTCATTGCATTGTTTGATAACCTACTTTTAAGCTTTTCTTTGTTTATCATGCAATCAATAACTATTGACTACATTCAAAGTCTTTTATATAGTCATGTAAACGGTTAACCTATCTTGTCTTTAAGGCGGACGCGGTTGACAAAAATATGAACTACAGTACACTTATTTATGACTGTTTCAAAGTAGACCCAAATTTATGACACAAATTGTGACAATTATGAACAGTTGCAATGATTGTATGCCATAGATTTGTCTGTTTAAAGCTTAATTTTAGATGATTTACTTTAAACCATTATTTCAACATTGTGATAATTTATAAGTTTTACTGTATTAAAACCTGTCTTAAATGTTACTTAAATGACTCATTTCTTCAAACAGCAGTTGAATATCAAAATTGCTCACAAGAATTGTTTAATTCAGTTACAAGGAAAAAATGCTCCTTCACTTAGATATTGAGGGTTGACCACAAAACTGCAGTAACTTATATTAAATAAAGAAGGTGTTACAATTGTTTTGCAGTCAACTGTCAACATGCAATTTCCATTTGAATTGATCTGTTTGATTTATAAATTAATATTTATATTGCAAAAGATGGACATTGAATTATTTTTCCATTATTGTTTTATTAATTTACTATTTTTAGCATGTTGTTACAAATCATCCATATACTAAGTTCTATTATGGTCACTTTCACTTTCAGTAATGCCTATTTAAAAAATGATGCAATATGTAGAATTTTGAAATAATATTATTCAAGGGTCACTTTTCTTGTTATTTTCCCTCCTTAGTCAAACTGATTTTTTCTTGATCTAACGTAAAATGATTAGTTACATTTTAGACTTGATGGTCAATATTTATGTAAGATTAACTGCCCATTGTTGTATATGATATAATTATACACATGAACATTCTATTTCATGACCTAAATGCAATCCAGAGGAAACTGGTTATTTCCTGTTAAAACATATCTGCATTTGTGACTATAAATAGGTTTTTGTTTGTATAAAACAAAGAAAATGTATTAAATTAAATACCTTGCTGAATTTTTTAAGTGCAAGTGTAATTAAAGACATCGAATTTGTGATAGATATATAGTTCACCCACTATAGCTGAATTTAATTTTACATATTTTTGTCTATTTATAGATAACTACAGCTGTTTAATAGTGTGAGGGGCCCACAATGGGGAATTATATATATTTTTACGTGCACCTGATCAAAATTAAATATATATCATATAAATGAATATGTTTGAATTTTTTGATATCAAGACAAATAAATTTGCATCATTAAATACACTTATTTGCAGGAAAAAACATGTTCTTGATATTTTTGTTATATTACGACTGTCCAAAAGAAGGAAAAAGAATGAAATAAAAAAGATTTAGTGTTTGATTCACTCCCTAGTGCATCATCCACTGAATAATCATGGTCAAAATCTTAAGTCTTATTTATTTTCCACACAAAAAATACATTATTGCTTAGCATTTTATTTATTTATTTGTTTGTTTGTTAAATGTTTGTTTGTTTGTTTGTTTGTGCAACAGATGTGTCATTTATGAATTCTCTGAGGGATTTTGTATTGTGAAAAAGCAGTCATTGAGAGTGGGCAGTCTGCTGGGCTAAGCCCTGTGTATACCATAATATGATGGATAGGTAGAATTATAAACAGGTTTCTTTATGTTCAAAAGAAGCCTAGGCTATTTCATGAAGTTACTTTATTTAGGCAGTTTGATATAAGGATCTCCCATAAAGGAATGTAAAAGAAATAACAAAAAACAGCAGGGTCAACCATGAATATTTTTAAAAGTGTTTTAACCTAATTTTCACATCATAATGCAGTGACTGGCTTCCATTAACCCTTAAAGTGCTGGAACTGAAAGAGTAAAGCCTTTGCCACCAGTATAGAACCAGGCCAGCCTGCACATCCATGCCACCAGTATAGAACCAGGCCAGCCTGCACATCCATGCAGTCTGTCTGTCTCACCAGGCTCTAATTACTCAATGTTGGCTGACAAACTTTATTTATAAATATACAAATTGATATCCCTAAAATTGATCATGGACATTCCCAAAAATGGAAGTGGGACAAGTCCATTTAAATTATTCAGGATGTTAAGGGTTAAGTTCCAAAATTTAAAAGTCAAGAGACATTGGAAGTCAATTATTATAATAAAGGTAAAGAAGGAAAAGCAATATATTTTGGAAGTCACAAGCCAAAAACAGGAGTAAAATGACTCACAAACTTTCACTTATGGATGCCCTGATAATGAAACCTGTTAATTTACCAGTAATATACTGTATTATGTTTTGTGATACCTTATAATATGTTAATTTTACTTTTTTAAATTGTTCAGGTTCAAAGACTGGTACAGAGGCCTCATCGTTTGAATTTCTACGTCAGGAGCTGCCTGTACGACTGGCCAATATTATGAAGGAAATCAACCATTTACCAGACAATCTTCAACAAATGCCTTCAGTTGCTATGGTCAGAAACTGGTAAGTAACCTTGGATGAATTTATTGTGGGAAAGAATTTTATTATCATAATATGATATAAAGCTTAGGAAATTTTCACCTTTATATCACCAGGGGCATATATAAGCCAATTCGCAATCTATATAGCCTCTTTATTCCAGATTAAAAAAAAATTGAAAGCTATTGTTTATACATGTATGTATGTATGGCAAATATATAGTTTGTTTCTTTTGAAGAAGGTATTCACTATTCAGCAAGTATTGTGATTCTACTTGGCCATCAGATTGTGGAGAAATTTCACCACCAGATCATTGCAATGTGCAACCATTATTTCTATATACATGTTTATGTATATATTATACTTACATATCTCTATATTTTATTACAGGTATCAGGCAAGTTTTACAGAAATACTGGAGTTTGAAGATACCGTTAAAGTTGAGGATAAAGACAAACTAGCAAAGTAATTGGCAGTTTTAACACATTGATTTATCTTTAATTATAAGTATATATAATTGCTTATCTTTGTATATAAAATACTTAATCTCTGGATATATATCAATTCTTACTGGAACCACAGGTGATATTCCTTTGTATATAATGAGACCCAGACCATTCCGCATGCAGGGCTATGTATCCACAGAAGCAGCCCTGCCCTAAATTTTTGGGGGCTATTATACTTTATTGTATATTTGCAAAAGGGGAAGAAAAAACTTGATGTAAATCCAATTTTAGGGGAACACTGCATAACTTAACAGTGTCTATTCTAGGAGTGGGGATGGGGGATTCACTCCTATTTTTAGCTCGACTTTTCTATGAAAAGGGGAGCTATCCTACTCGCCCCGGCGTCGGCGTTGGCGTCACACCTTGGTTAAGTTTTTCGTACCACCCCACTTTATTTCAGAAGTATTACAAGTATGGCTTTGAAACTTACCATACTTGTTCACCATCATAACCTCCATCTACAGACAAGAGTACATAACTCTGTCAAGGTTTTTGACAGAATTATGGCCCTTTTTTGACTTAGAAAGTGTATTGAGCTTGGTTAAGTTTTTTGTACCACCTCACTTTATTTCAAAACCATTGGAGGTATTGCTTTGAAACTGACCATACTTGTTTACCATCACGACCTTCATCAACAGACAAGAGGACATAACTCTGTCAAGGTTTTTGACAGAATTATGCCCCTTTTTGACTTAGAAAATACATTGAATATGGGTAAAATCCACTTATTGCCTTAACCCTTTGAGATATTGCTTTGAAACTTTTAATGCTATTTCACATCATTACCCCCATCTGTACGCAAGAGAAGGTAACTCTGTCAAGGATTTGTTTTAAAAATTAAGGCCTTTTATCGACTTAGAATCTTGGTTAAGTTTTTAGTACCAGTCCACTTTTTGACTGAACTGTTTGAGATATTAATTTGAAAGTTGGAATACTTGTTTACAATCATGATTCCCAAACATGTCCAGGAGAAGGTAATTCTGTCAAAAAAACTCAGTTTTTTTTTCTTTCTTACCAGCCCTCTTTTGACTTAAACATTTCAAACTTTGCTGCAGTGTTCAAGGGTATCACACAATTCAGTAAAATAATTCTTCACTAAATATCTTAATGCTCATGGCCATTGTTCACTTTAAAAATACAGAGATTCTTGTATTGCCTTTTACTGCAAAAACTTTTTTTATTGGCAAGCAATAAAAAAGTCGAGCGCGCTGTCTTACGGACAGCTCTTGTTGAGAATTCCCCCCTATTTTTTCAAAGGCAGGGGCAAAATTTTACATAGAAAAAGAAGGTAGAAAATCAACAAATGTAATAAATTCTCACCTTTCAATAAAAATCCCCCTTGTTTTTCAAATCCTAGAATAGACACTGATAATTATAAAAAAAATTCTTCGGACAACCCGCCCTTAAACGGCCCCCTTTTATAGAAGGGAAAAATAGCCTGGCATGTCAGCATAGTCTGACCAGGTTTTATACTACTCAATGTTTGCTTAGTGAGCAACACTTAGATATCTGTTAATTTGTGACGGGACTATAGCCATAAAGTTTGATATCAAATTGCCTCATAATTGTTATTTTGTTAACCTGATGGGGTTTTTTTTTCTCCACTTAAAATACTTTTTTTGATCATATTCTGAGATCATGCAATGTATAAAACATTCTATAAATTATTGAATGAATCCACATGTTTTTCTTTTTGCCTATTATGTTTACATGAAAACTTGAGCAAGTGTCCTTAAAGGTATTTTCTAAAAAAAATCACAATGTAGGCTTGGCGTTATTTCAAGAAATATATTTTTTTGTGCTGTTAAGTTTTCAATCAATAACTGAATAAGGAAATTTTTAGTTTCTTTCTTTTCAAGATATAAAGGATATTGAATGAGTGTAAGCTTAATACTGAATTTATTGAACGAGTTGAATAATAATATGCGAGCCTCTGGCCTTAAAAAACTAAACAAAAACAGAACTACCGTATATATATTGCATAATGGAATTGTATTAAAGTCAAATTGACAACAGTAATAAACACATGTTATGTACAATGTATAATTATTATTAAGAGGATATTTTTTCGTTTGAGTGAAATATGGAATATATTTTCACGAAACATGATAAAATGCCACATATTTTTCACGAGCCGGGACAGTTTTGACTCCGCCCACCTTCATATTTATATTTCATATTTATTTTTAAAAAATATGAAATATATTTGACTGATATAGCACCATATTTCATGGGTAAAATTAGATAATAAAACATATTTTCTCTTTCATTTTGAAGAATTTCTTCAGTTGACAAGTTAACTGTTTCTTCAAAGTCTAAAACTTTTGCTTAAAAAAGAAGTGACATCATATTAACATTGATTTATAATCTTATTATCCCCAGCAAAACAAATTATGTAATGCTATTTAATTTCCGTATTGGGGATAGGTACATGTACATGTAGGTCTTAGTGACTAATATTGATTATTTACTGGTCTCAATCAGTTTTGAAACCAGTTATTTCCTGCTCTTCCAGTCAAAACATGTGTATATTGGGAAAATTACTGACTGGCTTTAGATTTATTGAACAGTCACCGACCTTGAATCAGAGGCATTTAATTGTGATAGAGAATTTATTGATAATAATGGTATTTGAAGGGTCTGTTGTACTCAACAATTAACATAACATAATAATTGATAATGTATTAATCGTAAGACAATTAATATTGCTGTTTAACTACTTTGTAGAAATTTAAAGATTTTATTTCTTTTAAATATTTGAAACATTATAATCATACATGTGTATGCTTGTAATAAAATGAAGGATTTATTATTGATGTTCTATACAACTGTTAGTTATTAAGGCTCTACACACCTATTGAATAGGCAGGGTGTCTTTGTTTGGGGCTTAAGTAGCTTGGGAGAAGGGGGGGGCTTAAGTAGGGGGGGGGGGGCTTAAGTAACTTGTAGTAAATGCATGCTTAAATGTCTCCCCAATTTTTGTCAAAAAAAAAAACAACAACAACATTATTAAACCTCATTTTCATCATTTTCGTTTTAACAGATAAAAGTTTCCAAATGATACTATTCATCAAGGGGAGGGAATAATAATTGTTTACTAGATTTAAGTTTAATCATAACATATTAGTTTAAACTTGTTAAGATATAAAAATCTTATCATGGAAGTCTTTACTTTCCTGCATTTTGTATAATGGACTTGTTCGGCTTGGAATTTGGAACTGTTTAACTTGAATCATATTCTCAAGGTCATACATGTAATAATTTCTCATTTATTTAACTGAGAGGCCAAATGTATCTAGAACCTTATGTACATGCTGGACAGGCATTTTGTTACTGTAGCACACTGTAGACTTATAACAAATTGCAAAAAATTGCAATTTAGCTTATATTAATTATGGTTGATACATGTGCATGTACTGTACTTGATTCTATATTGGTTAATTGTCTAGAGATTGTATATTAATTAATTGTCTAGATATTTTTCTGTGAAACTTAAATAAGACTCATGATTAATTTTTAGCTCGACTATTCGAAGAATATGAGAGCTATTGTAGTCGCCCCGGCGTCAGCGTCCGCGTCGGCGTCTGCGTTGGTTAAAGTTTTTTGTAAAGTCAAATATCTCAATTATTACTTGATATATTCAATTGAAACTTACAATAGTTATTTATAGTAACAAGGTACATCAGATTGACAAGTTGGATAACTCTGCCGACAATATTGACAGAATTATGCCCCTTTTTAACTTAGAAATTTTGGTTAAAGTTTTTTGTAAAGTCAAATATCTCAATTATTGCTTGAGATATTCAATTTAAACTTAATATTTATTTATAGTAACAAGGTACATCAGATTGACAAGTTGGATAACTCTGCCCTACCATATTGACAGAATTATGCCCCTTTTTAACTTAGAAATTTTGGTTAAAGTTTTTTTGTAAAGTCAAATATCTCAATTATTGCTTGAGAATATTCAATTGAAACTTACAATACTTATTTATAGTAACAAGGTACATCAGATTGACAAGTTGGATAACTCTGCCTACAATATTGACAGAATTATGCCCCTTTTTAACTTAGAAATTTTGGTTAAAGTTTTTTTGTAAAGTCAAATATCTCAATTATTGCTTGAGATATTCAATTAAAACTTACAATTCTTATTTATAGTAACAATGTACATCAGATTGACAAGTTGGATAACTCTGCCTACCATATTGACAGAATTATGCCCCTTTTTTAACTTAGAAATTTTGGTTAAAGTTTTTTTGTAAAGTCAAAATATCTCAATTATTGCTTGAGATAATTATTCAATTGAAATTTAAAATTCTTATTTATAATAACAATGTACATCAGTTTGCAAAAATTGCATAACTCTGTCTGCAATATTTGCAAGAAATTATTTGCCCCCTTTGAAACTTAGAAATTTTGGTTAAAGGTTTAAAAATCTTCAAAGATATTTACTTGAAATTTTTACACATGCACTTAGGGTCATAATTGGAGGGCATAATTGTATGTCACTGACCAAGTTCCATAACTCTATCTTGCATTAAGGCTGATTCATATCCCCTTTTCTACTTAGTCTCTTGGTTAATGTTTACATGCAAGTTTTACATATCTCAATAACTATTAAAGATATTATATTAAAACTTCACATATGCATTAAGGGTCATAATTGTAGGTCACTGACAAAGATCCATAATTCTATCTTGCATTTTCGGCTGATTTTTCTCCCCTTTTTCAACTTAGAAATTCATGGTAAAGTTTTGCTTGTAAGCTGTTATTTCAATAACTACTGAAGGGTTTTGTGCCTTTTTTGGGACAATTTTATGCATTCATAATAATAAAGCAGTGATTTACTTGATAAAACGTCTTAATAACAAAGCTTTTTGTACCTTTTCTGTCAAATTTATGTATTCATAGGTAATTAGTATTATTATACTCAATAAAAATCCCTTGTGACATTACCTTCCAAATAGTCAAGCCAATTCTGTATAATTAGACTCTCTCTAAGACCTATAACATGAATTTATAAAAAAAATTAGCCCTTTTTTGAGCTTAAAAAATTTAACATTATCAAGACTCTTTTACTATCAAGCACTTAGAATAGTCGAGCGTGCTGTCCTACAGACAGCTCTTGTTTGACATGTACACAATATTGTTAAGTTTTAATAATGGAATAGAATAGAAGTCAGTTATGCAATTCAGCATTTCTTTTCTGAACCAGACTGTTCATTATTTTGTAGGGTTTTGTTTTTCTATTTAATTGAAATTTTAATAATGTTACATACCGGTAATGTAAGTGGTTGGTTATATTAAAATTAAGCAGTTCCATGCTGTTATATGCAAATGTATGTGAAATGGTAAAAAGCCAGACTGTATAACATTATACATGTACCATTCCGAGATAAAAAAAAACAAAACAGCATGCAAAACAGTCTATTGAAAACCCTCCCTTAGAGTTATATAGGGAGTATAGCTAAATATTTGATTTGATTTTAGTGACTGACTTCTTAAATAATAATGATTTAATAAATTATGTTTGTGTTTTCAGATTTGCAGATGTTCTGGTCAAAATTAGAAATCGTCATTCAAATGTTGTAGAAACAATGGCTCAGGTAAGGAACAGTTTTACAAGAAAAATTTCACTGTTTTAATGATTGTTCATAACAAAACCAATGTTTTTAGGAATGACTGTCTTCGTACTTTAATCATTCTCGTGAGGTCTTCCTCCATTAGTAAGGCTGGAAAGTCACCATAAGGCATATTATGGTAACACTGTCTTTCTTAAAACCCAGCATGCGCAGGTGCGAATCTCATTTCATGTAAGGAAGCTATCTAGATAGCTTAGGGTGATGACTAGTTGTGTTAAGATCTATTTATATGTTGTTGTCTTTTAAATTTTCTACTATTGTTAACTATACCAGTCAATAGAATGTTTAAAAATAAAGAATAACAAAGGTTAAAGTTCAACAACTGTAGCAAAAGATAGCACAGTGACCTAGGAAATGATAGTGTAGTCTGCTTCAGATAAAGATATCACATTTGAGGCCACTGAACTTGTTAGTGATGAAGTTTTTTCCCCCAAAGAACGTGTATTTAGATATCAGTATTTGTCTGCATTATTAAATTATATAATGTAGTTTAGTTGTGTGCATTTATGCCCAATGTGATTTTTTTTTTTGTTGCGCCAACACATTATAGGTCATATGGCAACTTTCCAGCTTTACTGGTGGCGGAAGACCACAGGTGTCTCTCTGTGCATTATTTCAGGCCTTCCTCATATGAAATGATCCAAAGACCCTTTTAGGATTCCAACCCATAACAGATAGGTGCAAGTGGTTTAAAGTCAACGGCCTTGTCCACTTGGCCACTGACACCCCTATATTATTCTCTGAATGTATATCAAACATTTGTCATTAAGCCGTCAAGGTCTGGGTCACAAGGTGCGATGGTAAAAGACCATTCCATCAACAACTAGAATTGTTGACAAGTTACACTGTAATGGAACCTCTTTTAACTTCTATTCTTGCATAAATATTGCACAAGCAGGTATCCTATGAATTTTTGTCATTATTGATTATCTTGTCTTTTCCAAAGAAAAAGTCGAACTTTTATGATAGCTGCAGTGTAATTGTTTATTGTTGTGCAAAACTTGAATGTAGCCCATTATTCAAATATTTCAAAAAGTGCCAACATAAAACTTGGAATACTTGCAGTTTTTAATACTTTGATATGAGACCTGGCTTTGTAAACAAATTACTGGATTACTTTGAAAAATAAATCGAAATCAAGACTTACAAAAGCAAACATTCCATATGTAAATATGAATGTAGTGTTATCAAAAACATGTTTGCATACATGCAGTGTTTTGGTTTGAATATAGAACAGTGACCTTCTAACTAGTTAATCTTGAAGATAATAACATTGCATTTAAGGTTAAAGGTCAGACATTTTAGGATAAGAAGACTAAAATTGGTTAATAGGTGAAGGGTTTTCTACAGTATATCATTTGTGTATAAGGTCAATATCTGCATTTAATAAACATTTATTTTGTGTTTAATGCCATTTGTCATGTAATATTTGAAGCATTATTCATGAGAGTTTTACTTTTGGGGCCAACCTATTTCCATATAATTGGAGATAATATATTGTTGAAATTATAATACGTAATTTTATTTCATGCAATTTAAAGTCAAGTGAGAAATGAAAGCATTGGTGCTACAGAATGCTTTTAGGCCTTACTGCAGTGTATTTAAATGAAGGAAAAATAAGAAGATGTTTATAATTTATTCTATGATGCTTTTGATTTTAGTGTAGAAGTTGTAATATACTTGTTGAGAATTTCTCTGGTGTAAAATCCAGAGTTACTCATGAGATACCACCTTGTACTTGTAGGTTTACTGAGTGCATTATACTGTACTGTACAGTATTCACTAACAACAACTATCAACCACCTGAATTGGTTTTAAATCAACCCCCCCCCCCCCCCTAAAAAAAAAACAAACAAAAAAACTTATTGATTTGCTTATTACATAAATTTGATTATAGATAAAACCTAGAAAATTGTTTACAAACCTACTGATTTGCTTATTATCTAATATAACATAATGAATTGTTATATTTCAGGGTGTAATGGAGTTGAAGGATGCATATGGGGACTCACGGACAGACAGTCAAATACAGTACTTTCTTGATAGGTTTTACACTAGCAGAATTAGTATAAGAATGTTAATTAACCAGCATGGTAAGTTTTAATCTTTGTATACTTCTTATATCTATATTAGCCAATCTATATGTTTGATTATTGCCTGACTGCAGCTTTTAACACATTGGCCTTAAGTAATATTCAAAGGGCATTATCTAATATAGCCAAATTTAATATGATAGGGTAATCTTTTACAGATCTTTTACAGATAAATGTGTGCCTTTTCTAGATATGCACAATTGTATAAACATATTTATGATCTAATATTTTTGTCTTATCTTAGTAATAAAGCCACCAGATGCTATGCAAACACTAAAAGGGAGCTTATATTTGAGACCCAATTTTACTTACATTAAGCGTGTGATGTAGAATTGAAATTACATAAAGAGATAAATGTAAAATTTGTTCATGACAAAATACTATGATATTTAAACCTTCTTTAATCAGGCAACTTTTTAATTCTTACTTCCAAAGAGAATACTGTATTTTAGCTTGACTGTTTAGCTCTTAACCTACTAAATATCTTAAATTGACATGTCCATCTCTTGACCATCATATTTGGGGAAATTTTGAAATGAGAACTGACTGAATAGCAAACAGTGCAGACCATGAGCAGGTTGCAAGAATGTGCTGGCTGGTTTTGGTATGCACTGTTCACAATCGTGGCTTTGGTAGATTCAGTCAAAGCGAGCAGGCTAAGTGTTTAATAATAATGGAAGATTTGCTATATTGTTTTTTCCACATTTTTACGGGAGAAATGTGTTGTTATAATTTCAGCATTATTATATGGTGATGAGTTAGCCAATCATCCTCAACATGTAGGTTGTATAGATCCTAACTGTGATGTTCTCGAAGTCGTACGAGGTAGGTGGATACATTTGTTACTTTGGAGTGAAATGGCATATGTTTAATAAAGGGAACCCTTAACATCATTGATTTGGAATAAGTGTCGCGTTACAGGATCAGCTATAGGTCTGAATCTTGTCGTGGATATCAAATTATTTCATGTAAGAAAACCATGTATTAATATTTGCCTGGTCATTCCTGAAGTGGTCAGGAAGGGGAGCACTGAAGTTCTGACCTCACCACTAAAGCTGGAAAGTTGATACATATAGTATATGATCTTCTATAAAGAAATAATGAGTCAGAAATTGTCCAGTGGAGTATACTAGCTGGTTTGCCCTTCAACGCCTCTCTAACACAAACCACTTCTTATAGCACCTTCATTTTCTACTGATATCTTAGATGTGTTTATACTTGCCATAGACTTCATCCTAAGTTTGGGGTTTATGTTAATTGGGTCAAGGTCGCTAAGATTTTAAAAGTTTTGACTAATTTTCATTGTACTAAGACCATGTTTTTAGAGTGGTCAAAATGACATCAAGTAGCATTGTTTTCTGTAATTGCTTAGCTATAGAATTGAAATAGTTTGTTTTTTGTAATTTGACTTGACGAAAATCTTTCCAGCACATGTTTATATATATTTTTCAGATGCTTATTCCAATGCTAGATTTCTATGTGAACAATACTATATGATATCTCCTGATCTCAAAATTGAAAGCTATAATCGTAAGTATTTACTTACTACTATAACATATATTGACCCGTACCCTGCTGAAACTGATACCGCCTCCGTGGTCGAGGGGTTAGAGTCGATGACTTCTAATCCAGTTAACTCTTTGGCGTGGGACCTCTTTGGCGTGGGTTCGATCCCCGGGAGATGCTTAGGTAGTTTAGCGCGGAGGAAGGTAGTCTAGTATTGGTGTAACTCTCCAGGAACGATGGTTAGGAAACTACCCGCCTATATGACTGAAATACTGTTGGGAAAAGGCGTGAAGTGAAACAAACAAACTGAATTCTAGTAGCCTATGGCCACCCATGCAATATTCCATACACATGTTAGAGCAAAATGAATAATAATTAAAAAATTATTGATGATTATAAAAGCAGAGTAATTTAAATAATAATTAAAAAATCAAAGATACTTTTTGTAATTTTACAAGCATAATAATGAAAAAATCATAATTATAAATGCATAATTATAAATGCAATCAGTAATTATATAAAGGTTTTGCATTTAATTTTGTATAATATTCTTATTGTGCAGTTGATCTAAAAATAAAATCTATAATAAAGTGTGCACATATATTTTATTCCAGCATATGAGAAGACCGACTCTGTAAGACTTGTATATGTGCCATCACATTTGTATCACATGCTGTTTGAGCTGTTCAAGGTAGGGTGTAATATATTGACTCGCTATTTATTACTGAGCTAGTATTAGCCACTAGCTGATAAGCCCTGCCTAAATTCAGCTTGAATCACGTCGATTGTAGTAAATTAGTTTAGAATGCAGCATTGCTGAAACTTTCTTCCAATGCCATCCATCAACTATAAAGCCATTGCTTCGCACTAGTATTATAGAGACGTAAGTGGTACTTACGACCTTATATGACTGATTCAGTTTCAGTATTTACAAAGGTTCTGTCATAATTTGGTCTGATCCCCAGCTCTCTAGACATAATATTTAAGCCAGAAAACAACAATAAAGGTCGTATGTGCACTTTGGATCAGAAACATAATCAATGAGCCACGTCACAACAAAACCAACATAGTGCATTTGCGACCAGCATGACACGGCTCATATAAGGTCGTAACTGCAGTCTTAACATAGGTACACAACATTTTGCTCTTTTTTGTCAATATTAGCTGGTAGTTTTTTTACGCAATTGCATAATTGTACTTTTATAACTATCAATTATGATTTTTATTACAATCTTTCTCCTTTTAAACACAGTTGTCTTTTCGATTTCACATTCCTATGTGAAAATTAAACGGCGACTTTTAACTAAATCTCTGTCATATGATAATTGATTTTTTTTACCTCCATTTTGTTTCATTTTTCTTTTGCATTTTTTTTTCTCATGACCATTTGGTTTAGTATTTATTAGTTGCAAAATACCTCTTTTTTGAAAATGTCTTTGATATATTTTCAACTAAATGAATTTTGTGCATGATAATGCCATAAACTGTATATATGTAAATTGTTTAAACTGGGACAGGACACTCATAAGCTTTCATAGCTTTCTGCCCAATCCCAAATGTATTGTGTAAATATTGTTCATCATAATGTAAATATATCGAATAAAATATGTTTAAACCAAGTGCAAAAGACCATGTTTAAAACACTTTTTGTATACTTTTGACAAGTTTTTTTTTAAAGAAAACCCTAGTAGATTTTTCAAATGTTCAATGACAAATGAGCCGCGTCATGACAAAACCAACATAATGGGTTTGCAACCAGCATGGATCTAGACCAGCCTGCGCATCCGCATTGTCTGATCAGGATCCATGCTGTTCGCTTACCAATCCTATTACAAGTAGCAAAACTTATAGCAAACAGCATTGATCCTGATCAGACTGCGCGGATGCGCAGGCTGGTCTGGATCCATGCTGGTCGCAAACCCATTATGTTGGTTATGTCGTGACGCGACTCATTAATGTGTAGGATTTGTAGGCTTGTAGCTTTAGGGGATTTGTCATCGTTGTCTATCTTTATTCTTCTTTCAGAATGCAATGAGAGCTGTGGTAGAAGTGCATGGGGACAAAGCAGAAATACCTCCTGTAGAAATAGCTGTATGTAAAGGGAAGGAAGATCTTACCATTAAAGTTAGTTCATGACTGTTTAAATATCACAAATTATATTCAAATTTACAAAAAAAAAAATGTAAGTTTTTTTGTATATGATTTAACTTTGTAATGGCATTTTATATTACTACAGTCATTGCTGGGACAGAGGTTCTAAAATATGTGGGAATGGCGAAAGATCAAAACAAGTTCTTTTACATAATGTGTGGTACATTAATCAAAATGCTAAATTTATGGACTAATTTTCAAAGAAAAAGTCAAGCTATAGTGATCACTGTAGCATTGTTGTTGTGATGGTGCAAAAACTTTAATGTAGTCCATTATTTAAAAATATAAAAAGTTACCAACATAAAATTTGGAATACTTACTTATCATAACAAGGTGCAGTTGTTATACAAAGGGGCTTAATTCTGAAAGTAATATTTTTGGAGTTATGCCCCTTTGAGTATTTGTCAACACCATATTTTTGTTCTTGTTTAAGCATAGAGTACTTATTGTATGGGAATATTTATTAGAATTTTTTTTTCCAGTTTGAAAAGTGCCGACTCTGCATATTGAGATGTTAAGATTTAATTATCGTGCTTAATTATCATGCTTGTTGTATTTTATGGTTCAATAAATGATAATTTTTCATGCTTTGCAGGTGTCTGATCAGGGCGGTGGAATAGCGTTTGGAAAAGTGGATCTGTTATTTCAGTATATGTATACAACAGCACCTCAACCTCAGCCGTCACATTGTCGGGAGGGTTCGGCCCCGCTAGCAGGATACGGTTATGGTTTACCGTTATCAAGACTGTATGCTAGGTATTTCCAAGGTGACCTTGTCTTAAATTCTATGGAAGGCCATGGTACAGATGCTATGATTTATTTGAAGGTATGTGTCTTGAAGTTACATATGTTTATGTTACATATTTCATGATTTTCTATGGCAGTTTCACTATTACTTTAGTGTATTGCTGTAATGGTAATGTTTAATTGAGGTATCCTTGCAGCGTGTGCTTAAAGTTAATTATCTAATTCATATATTGTTTGAATTTTAGATAAAAGCAATATTATACATTTAAAAGTATTATACAAGTAGTTAATATGACTAGCCATAGACTATGACTTAAGACATACGAAAATTCATGAATAGTATATTTTGCTAATAATACATGTTTTTTTGTGGAGGACATGTCCTCAGACACTTGAAGACATAAGATTTATACTTTAAAATAATATATTAAAGGGGAGTGGTGGCCTATTGGTTAAGTTGTCTGCCTCTCAACCCATGGATTCAAGCCCTACTTGGGTCACTATCATGTTCCTTCATATGACACCAGTACTGCTTGGTTCCAGGAAGTGGACTCAAAAAGAGATTAATGTTAGTTGCAAAAACTTATTTCGCAATCAAGCATAAATATGTTTGAACTATATTAAAATTCTCAAACTCTGTTTCACAGGTGCTATCTGACGAAGCGAATGAATGTCTACCAGTTTATAATAAGACAGCTTCACGTGTATACGAGTCAGACACGCCAGTTTCGGATTGGAGCACACCCACACCTTGGACACAAAATCCATCACGTAGTTATTCAACGTATGTTTTAAAACGGACAATGAATCCAACAGTGAACTCATGAACATGTGGTTAGAATTTATAGAAATATGTTAACCATGTGTGTCAACCATAACACTCGTTTTCTTGGAAAGGAGTCCGTTTGTTCACGTATATAAGTCTGTGTTTGAATAGCAACAAGAATAAATGTGACATTCACATGCTTTTTTCGAGTCATTGAGACGAAGTTTTGTGATGGTTCACCTGATTGTGGGAATTGTAATGTAGTTTAAATGTTAATTAAATCATGTTAGAAATTATTTGACTGTACAAACGTTCTAGGAGAACAGCTGTATGTCAGTCGCACCTGATCAAATAATGAGAAGAAAAATCTACAAGAAATAAAAAACACGAGAGATATATATTTAGAAAAAGAAAGAAAAAAAAATTCCTGTTAACCAAATTTGTTATTTGAAGAAATGTTCATTTTCTAGATAAAAAAAGTACTGTAATGCGTTTATAATTTTTAGATATTTGAGTTTATCAAAGATGGACATGCATTTCGTGTTTTATATGATAACACAGCGCATTTGTAACCTGAATTTTCATTGGACGATTCTACCATTTACATTATTTGTATATAAAGTTGCTATGAATCTATGAGTTAATTTTTAAATTTTTTATTGAAAAAAAAAACAAATTTTCTGCATTTTAATATTGTAAACGCTTTTTATGTAACTCAAACTTTGGTACTAGCTAAGAACCTAAATAAAATGTTATGTTGAAAAGAAAAATATATATTTGTATCTGATCTACCAATAGGCGCAGTGAAGGAGCTCTGACAAGAATCTGTTCACTAGAAAAAACAAAGCATAACCAACTGATTTACCTATAATGGCAAGCTGTATATATAGTTATATGGGTTATTTATTTTCTTTAAAGAATATATATGATGTTTATATATTGAGTTCAAGTCTGTAATATGTACATGTCTGTAAAGTAATTTCCAGTCACAGTAATTTTTTTGTGCATAAATGTAGTAGAGTTGATAAACTCCACATTCTGTCACCGAGTGAAAATTTTCGTGGATTTATTGAAGAAATGTGGTGCTAAATAATAAAGCAATAATTTAGGACCTGCTTATCCCCCTAATCTTTGAAGGTCCATATTGGCTTTGAGTAAAAAAGATTTGATCTTAAATTTGAAGTTGTAAAATATTTGATTATATCATATTTTGGGTAATTATTTCATGCATTTGTTTAATATTATTTTTATATTTTCTGAATGGGTTACTGTATACAGCACACTAACCATTTAACTGCACATGACATGATTGGGCCACCAGTAGAGTCTGACCAGCTTGTTCAGCTGCGCAGGCTGCCCCAGGTTCAATCCTTTTTTTGACTTATTAATATGATATGAAATAATGTAATCTGTAAATGTTGAATTATTGACATGTGGAAATTCAGAGTAGGATAAGTCCAGTAGTAAAATATAAGTGAAAAAACTGAAATTGATATAAAAGTTATTCTTAAAAATGGTCAAAATTCACAAGTGTAAAGTGAATGTAAGTGCATATTTGAAATGAAGAAGGTAGACATTGATAATTTAGAAACAATATTTTCATTGACCTTTATACATGTTTATTATTTAGACAATTTTTCTATACAGACTAGTCATTATTTTTATTTTTTATTTTTATTTTTTTTTTTTTAATTCCCGTAATAGTAAAATGATAAAATAGAAATAGATATAATTGTTCAGTATCAATATTGAAACCAAAGCCATATTTTGCTCTTATTTTATAATTATGCCCCCATTTCGAAGAAAAGGGGGTATATTGCTTTGCACTTGTCGGTCCGTTGGTCCGTCGGTCCGTCGGTCCGTAGACCAAATGGTTTCCGAGTGATAACTAAAGAACCCTTAGGCCTAGGAACTTCAAACTTGGTATGGTGATTGGTCATGACCAGTAGATGACCCCTATTGATTTTGGGGTCAAGGGGTCAAAGGTCAAGGTCACATTGACCTTGTAAGCAAAAACGGTTTCCGATCAATAACTAAAGAACCTTAGGCCTAGGAACTTCAAACTTGGTATGGTGATTGGTCATGATCAGTAGATGACCCCTATTGATTTTGGGGTCAAGGGTCAAAGGTCAAGGTCACATTGACCTTGTAAGCAAAAACGGTTTCCGATCAATAACTAAAGAACCCTTAGGCCTAGGAACTTCAAACTTGGTATGGTGATTGGTCATGATCAGTAGATGACCCTATTGATTTTGGGGTCAAGGGGTCAAAGGTCAAGGTCACATTGACCTTGTAAGCAAAAACAGTTTCCGATCAATAACTAAAGAACCCTTAGGCCTAGCAACTTCAAACTTGGTATGGTGATTGGTCATGATCAGTAGATGACCCCTATTGATTTTGGGGTCAAGGGGTCAAAGGTCAAGGTCACATTGACCTTGTAAGCAAAAATGGTTTCCGATCAATAACTAAAGAACCCTTAGGCCTAGGAACTTCAAAACTTGGTATGGTGATTGGTCATGATCAGTAGATGACCCCTATTGATTTTGGGTCAAGGGGTCAAAGGTCAAGGTCACATTGACCTTGTAAGCAAAAACGGTTTCCGATCAATAACTAAAGAACCCTTAGGCCTAGGAACTTCAAACTTGGTATGGTGATTGGTCATGATCAGTAGATGACCCCTATTGATTTTGGGGTCAAAGGTCAAGGTCACATTGACCTTGTAAGCAAAAACGGTTTCCGATCAATAACTAAAGAATCCTTAGGCCTAGGAACTTCAAACTTGGTATGGTGAATGGTCATGATCAGTAGATGACCCCTATTGATTTTGGGGTCAAGGGGTCAAAGGTCAAGGTCACATTGACCTTGTAAGCAAAAACGGTTTCCGATCAATAACTAAAGAACCCTTAGGCCTAGGAACTTCAAACTTGGTATGGTGATTGGTCATGATCAGTAGATGACCCCTATTGATTTTGGGGTTAAGGGGTCAAAGGTCAATGTCACATTGACCTTGTAGGTTAAACGGTTTCCGATCAATAACGAAAGAACCCTTAGGCCTAGGAACTTCAAACTTGGTATGGTGATTGGTCATGATCAGTAGATGACCCCTATTGATTTTGGGGTCAAAGGTCAAGGTCACATTGACCTTGTAGGTAAAAACGGTTTCCGATCAATTAACTAAAAACGCTTATTCCTAGGAACTTCAAACTTTGTATGATGATTGGTCGTGACCAGCAGATGACCCCTAATAAGTTTTGGGTCAAGGGGTCAAAGGTCAAGGTCACATTGACTTTGTAAGAAAAAAACAATAACTTAAGAACCCTTAGGCCTAGGAACTTTAAACTTGGTATGGTGATTTGTCATGACCAGCAGATTACCCCTATTGATTTTGGGATCAAGGGGTCAAAGGTCAAGGTCACATTGACATTGTAAGTAAAAACGGTTTCTGATCAATAACTATAGAACGCTTCGGCCTAGGAACTTCAAACTTGGCATGGTGATTGGTCATGAGCAGCAGATGACCCCTATTGATTTTGAAGTCAAAGGTCAAGGTCACATTGACCTTGTATGTTAAAACGGTTTCCGATCAATAACTAAAGAACCCTTAGGCCTAGGAACTTCAAACTTGGTATGGTGATTGGTCATGACCAGCAGATGACCTATTGATTTTGGGGTCAAGGGGTCAAAGGTCAAGGTCACATTGACCTTGTAGGTAAAAACGGTTTCTGATCAATTAACTAAAAACACTTTGGCCTAGGAACTTCAAACTTTGTATGATGATTGTTCGTGACCAGCAGATGACCCCTATTGAGTTTTGGGTCAAGGGGTCAAAGGTTAAGGTCATGACCAGTAGATACTTGATAAACCCTTATTAATTGTTTGATCACTCAGGGTCAGAAGTCATGCATAATAACTTTATCACATGACTAATTGGCTGCTGATAGGGGGCATACATGTTTTACAAACATATCTTGTTTTATGAATTTTACATTGTCCAATTGCTATCTTCCATTGATTAAGTTCCAAAATCAAATTCTTGTGTTTTTTGTTATGCTTTTCTTTTTTTTTTCAATTTTGAACATGTTAGTTTAGTTAACCTGTCTCATGTAAATGAAAGTAATCGGGTGTGTTTTTTGTTAATGTATGATGTAACATGGGATTTTTTTGACTCCTTTTTTTTTTCCATAAAAACTTTCACAGTTTTTGTGTTTTGCACAGGCTGTCACAATAAAAACATATTTGCCATAAGACAGAAAGGGTAAGCCAGACCGGGTCAGTGTTATAGATATGTTGACTAGAATGATTGTCTTAATATATGTAGTTAAAATTCCTGAATCAAATTTAGCAGGAAAATGTGATGTGCCATTTTTAGCTCGACTATTCAAAGAATAGAGAGAGCTATTGTACTGGTTCCATTTTGGTTAAGGTTTTGTGAGCAAGTTGGTTTCTCCAAAACTACTGAAAGGAATGGTTGAAACTTCACACACTTACTTGAGAGCATAATAAGAGATTGCTGTTCAAGGCCCATAAATCTAAGATAGATTTTGACAGAATAATGGCCCTTTTCAAAGATAGAAAATTAAACATTATCCAGGGTCTTGTTTCACTGTCAAGCATGGAGAATAGTCAAGCATGCTGTCCTGCCGATAGCTCTTGTTGATATTTTTTAAAGATTTAACTAGGAAAATATACTAGGAACACATAGTCTGTGATATATATAGAGAATACTTTTACTTAAATAAGTATTATATTGTTTATAGTAAAATGTAGTAATTCAAATTTTCCCCCAGCATTACAATTACCTTTATTGTAGTGGTTGTGTTACATTTGTTTGGAAGTGTTGAATAACTGCGTAATAGTGTTGATGATATTGAGATAAATGGTGAAACCTTTAATTGTGCAGTAATAGTTAATATTATGGATGTTTATGAAGTAATAGTGAAATGCGTGTGCAATTACTGAATATTATGATTGATAATTATGGTAGTGAAAGCACGGTAATTATTGTTCATAATATGAAATTTGTATTTAACAACAAGTAGTTTAGGACAAATGCCCCTTGTCCAAAAAATCTGTCAGTTGATGATTTCTGGTAAAATGATTGTAAGAGCAACAAATGTATGCATGAAAACCTTTTAACCGTCCTCTTAAGCTAAACTAAGTTGATCTCATAAAATACATAGGATCCTAATGGCTGAGTGGTTAAAGCATCAAACTAGAACATGTAATCTAAGGAGCGCTAGTCATGTGGGTTCAAACCCCATAATGGGCAAGCAGTTGTTTTCTTGAGCAAGAAACTTTACACTCATTGCTCTGTACTGGTTGGTTCCAGGAACAAATTCGAAAGTGTGTCTATAAGCTTATACATTTGTATCTTCCTGCACAATCAAACTTAGATGAATTCTGTATAAACTAAGATCCAAAAATCTAACACATGAGATTTAAGTAATTTAGCATGATAATTTGAATTGAAATGTTAAAACTTTATTGTTAGAAATACTGTACTCATTCTATGCGCAAATTACTTTTTAAATCACCTGGGTTTTTTTGTGTTGATTGTTTTTATACTTTCTTATAGATTTAGTCACACTTAGATATATATATGTGTACTTTTGTTAGTATTGATGTTACTTATTTACTTATGTATGTACATGTAATGATGAATTAAGAGTTCATATGTGTTTAAAACATTGTTTTAATGCATATTATGTATTATGTTTATTGATTGTATAAAAAAACTGAAAATATAATTGTATAAAAATATAGTCATTCATAACCATCATAAGTCTAGGATTGAATGCAAAACAGTTATAGTATTTTTCTTTGGTTATTTGAACTTTATTAACGATGCGTTCAAACCTCGGAAATGGTTCCAATTTCATATGTTTTCTTTGTTTTTTATGGTTGCTCATTTTAATATTGTTATTGCGTTTACTTTAAACTGTTTCTTATTTCTAACATATAAATAGTTATGCATACCATGTCAGATGTGGAGAATGTAATTTGTGCAAAAAATTAGCTCTTGAGTGTAAGGCTGTGAAATAGATTTGTTTGCATATGTATATTTACATTGAGGGGTGTAGAAATAGGTGTTGCACCTTTGTTAAAATGTACTGGAAATTTTCACTTTTACTTGTATGATTGTTTTACATAGGTATATTGATTGTCCTTATGTATTGTGCTTGCCATTTTTGTTCTACAAAGACAAGTATTAAGGTTTACATATCTCGGTTTGTTAGCCTAATATTTTTGCCGGACACGTGGTTTCTGCGATACATGTACTAATGAATTAGTCCTCCAATTCTTATTTTTAAGCAACTCATGTAGAAGTTGACAATGACTTCTAAAGCTTCCAAAGATAATAAAAATCAGCATTGAATTAAGAATTTGTTTTTATTGCCATATGGAACTTATATCGATCATGATAATGATTATTACATTTTAATGTGTAAAAAAAGTAACACTAGATTTTTTTCATAGGTTTTGAACAATTATGAGAATCGATGTGACTATGTATATAGTGTATCATTCCATATAGAATCATTAATCGTCTGTCATTAATAGCATTATAATTAAATAAAACACGAGGGCTTAAACAGTCACTGGCAATATGCTACTTATTTTATGGAGTGAAAAAAACGATTGTTGCGATATTAATATAATTATAATTTTGTTTTTGCTCATTTATCACATTTCATGATTGTTAGTCTTTATTTTGTTTCATTCATTCAGATACAGTTTAGTTTAATAGCTAGTCCAAATCTGTTAAATGATGGTGAAATAAAAAAAAACTTGAAATCTAATAAATGTGTCTTGTTCTTGATTACCTTCTATTTAACAAAGAAAATGCAAAACCACATTCGAGTCTGCCATAATTGAGCTTTAAGTATTTTAAGTGTGGAGATCCAGTGTAAAGCATCAGCAATTGAATTCTCGTCAAATTTATTACAAAATTTGCAATTTTTTAACTCCATTATGTCCATACTTTCATAATGGCTTCAGTGTTGTTTTATTTTTCTGGTTCTTCTGATTACTGATTCAAGCATGTAAGTGCTGAAGATCAAATACCGCTTTAGCCGGTGCCAGTAAGTGTTCCTGCAATTTTCATTTAATATTGTAGCTTGCTTGCGTCCGAAACGATCACCCCATTTCCAGATATTTAAATGTAATCACAGCTATTAAATATCTCTTGAATGAATCAAGGTATCGTCACTAAACTTGGTCTGTTGCAAGTTGTCAAGATTCCAAAAATGGAAAATTAAGGGCTGCAAATAAAATGTCTTACAATTAACCATTTTATTTGTCATCAGTAATGATTATAATATCACACTTGATTTTCTAGTGTTTTACACCAACGTTAAAAATATCACCACATTACACCGACCTGGAAGTACATATGTATTGTTATTCACAGCTCTCTAATTGCTGCTTAGCAAGAAACTCGGCAATGCCAGAAACAGTAACTTACTCAAAAGCCAGCTTTTTCATTCTGTCCTAACAACCAATGAAAGCGTTTGTAGTACCCATAGATGTTCTACCATCGAGTTTATTAAACTTTATAGAATTAATGGGATCGCAAACATTCCGTGAACCACTGTTTGAATCTTTCCCAAACCTGTTCTGTAGGAACCTGTCATTGACCTAGCATCTTTCCAATTCATGCAAATTACTTAAGTTGGTGCCTTGTAGAGTTTAGTTTTAAAAAATTGAAACGACCTTTAACATTAACCATTGAATATAGTATCACAATAACTTGGTCTGTATAATTCACGTGAATCAACCGAGCTATAGCTTAATATAAACTTATATAGATATAAATTTCAAACAAACTATGTTTGTTCTGGAGGTCATAACCCTTCATGACCTTTGGTCTGTTAAACATAAAAAAATAAAATAAAATCATGTCCATCAATATTAAATTCACTCAAATACTTGTACTTAGTGCTACTTGACACCCATATTATCTCATGCATGAGACATACCCTCTATAAGACGCACATACAAGTGTGTAAGAAGAATAGGGTAGGTACAATTTTAGTTATTAAGCAGATATTTGACAGGTTTTATAGCCATATATACCGGTAAACGATTGTTTAATATTGATACATATAAGGCGAGCAAACGAAAAGTTTCGTGTCTGGCATTTGACATGTAAACAATAAACATGTGATTAGTGCAAGGAGACAGAGACAAGTAATCTAAGATTAAATTACATCCTATTAACTTTTACACGTTCCTTTGTCTTATTTCTTAGTCAAATCTTATAAGACTAACACAATTTTCCTTGTCAAAAGTTAAGGAAAAATTGATGTATAAAATATAATCAAATACATTTTTTTTTCAAAGATGCTTTATTCAAAACTCAACATAGTATAGAAAGAAGAGAAACACTATATAAGCTATATGAAAACTTATTAAGAAATATGTACGTATAAGAGGTATTAATTACACAGACATAGTGTTACCTATGTAAATCATTTTGGATGTTTCAACCAGCAAAACAACATTATATAAAAATATCTTACCATGCCTAGGTATCTAAATTTATACAATTTTAAACATAAAGTATATGAATGCTTTTCATATTGGCAATAACAATATAAATTTACAAAAATAACATTTGAAAACATACATTTAAGAAAAAATGATCAATTGATTATCAAATTAGACATGCTGGATATAAAATCGATTTTATGAAAACTTTTCTGCGCATTTGAGTTATCAATCATATAATAAAGATTTGTTGACCTATTCAGGATGCAAAGTCATATAAAAAGTGGTACAAAGAAAGTGTGAGCCTTTTTTACCATAACCATACTAAACTTGTTAATATTTCTGCACTAAATGCATGGGTTGGAGCAGGTTAAATGTCGAGTATAAGGTTTTACGAGGAGACTATTTGTATCAGAGTTATGCATACAGTTTTTGTAATTTTGGCACGTTCTAGTTTATTTTTTAACAATACCATGAAGAACTATGCAAAAAAGCACAGCCTTACCATATCATAGATAAAAAAATACACAAAATTATGTGCAAACAAGTTTGAAGCCCATTGAGATGATAGTGTAAAGGTGATATGAAACGTCAAGAAACGATTCAACATTTCATTATCAAACAAATATTTCAGTATGGATCCTTAATGGATATTGTATATGGAAATTGTGCAAATTGGTAGCGATTAAATCATCATTATGATTGTTTCTGTTAATGAATATAATTATTTTTTCAACATTTCATTATCAAACAGGTATTTCAGTATGGATCCTTAATTAAGATCAGATTGCTTCCTAAATGGACTGAACAAAACAAAACCCTATTTTTACAACATGGACTCAAATTACATAAGATATGGCTAAAAAATTTGGAAACCATAAATATTTAATGATAGAAATGTATCACAGATACATGATATCACAGATTCTTGATATATATACATGTATATCACAGACAACAATAGAAAAACAACATGACACTAAGGTAAGAGAATTTGAAGATCTACATCTATATTTACTATATCTTCCCAAATTGAAATAAATCCCAATACTTGTTCAAACTATTACCAATTCATGAAATGTAGGTGTTAAGTTGTGGAAATATTTTACTTTTTATAACCACACGATACACATAAAAATCATGAACTTATAACATTTTCAAGTTCTATTCCTGAAACATTAAACAGATATTTATTAACATTTTTTTCTCAGAGTTTTCAGTCATGTGTATTCTACGTAGACATCTAAATAAAGTAAAAGCCAAAATAAAATGGAAATTCTAAATATTGTATTCCAGTCCAGTCGAAATGTGTCCATATTTAAGGTAGTGTCACCACTTGCCTTTAAGCATGGAATCTCTTTCATGTCATGTTATATTCAAGTTGCACATGCCATTACTTATACATATGAAACCTTCCCATGTCATCACTCGATCTTTTTTTCCGATTTATTTTAGGGCTTGGTGCAGGCAAATGGGGCGTAGGCGACCTTAATTGTTGTGTAACAATGTAATCGCTGTGATACAGGGACTCCCCAACAGGCGGAAGTGGGCTTTCTCTTCCTTCAAAAGGAGAGTGGCTGCGTGACAGTTTTGGTGACTGACTTCCTGATGACGAATTTGGACTCGGGCTTCTTAGATGATCCATTTGGCTTTTCTTCGGCTTGTTATCGCATGGTTCTACATATGTCGCAGGGGTTTCATAAAATGGAGGTGGTGGCGAAAGGCTATAGTCATCCTGCTTAAAACCATCATTGACCTCCACCCTTTTCACTGGTTCCGGTGTGCTGACCCTCACCGAGAATGATGACAGGGGTCTTTTCTCATTCAAGTGATGCATACCAGTTGCAACAGGAGGTCGAGCACTATTGAAACCCATACTTGCAAAAGTATCTTCACGGAACAGGTAATTTTCAGGCTTCTGTTCAGCATTATACAGGGTACCTGACCGCCAGTCTAAAAAGGGGGAAATATAAAAATCATATATATATTTAATGATATGCTTTGCTTTCAATATGCTTTATTCAAATAGTTCATTCATGTTGTAATTCTTCGTCATGAAACTAAAGAGCCGTCATATGTTGCAAGCCAAATAAAAAAAAAAAATGTAAAGACCAACCACTATTCAGATGAAATACGTGTATCATAAATGTAAGTTGTGCGTCGCTTCTAGACTTTAAAAAAATGAACTGGAGGAAATTATGTCAGTATTTAAAGAAATGCAAAATAAGTTTCAACACAAGAGACCATTTGATGCAAATGATGAAAGAATTAGCTCTTTCATGATCTTCTACCCGATTACTAACAAGCAATATTTTAATACACTTTGGATAATCTGTTCCGTAAGCTTGTACTTTGGGCTACAATGAGTTACTTTATTTGTTCGCTGTACAATATTTATAAATTAACCCTTTATAAAAAAGAAAATTAAAGCAAAGTCTGTATGCTTGCTGCTTTAAACAAACATTTAACACGCTGATACTTACCGTGAGTTTGGGTCTTAGGTTTGACATTACATCTCCAGATGACAAGTGCTGCGACCACACCCACAACCAGGAGCGATAAGATAACTATGATTATTATCAGGTATAATTCTAGTCCATCGTCATCCTTGTCATCAGGCTGAAATTGTTAAATAAAATAATTATAAATTATCAGGATTATCTCTATGAATGCTGGCACAAAACTGTTTCTCCGATGCTCATAGAATACAGAAGGGTGAGCTTAGACAAATTCCAAAACTAACACACACCAATTGAGTCTTGTAATTTTTCTACTATTGGCTACTTTTGTCTGCTCACATATACGCTTAATAATTATATAGTTCCCTGAGACGTATGTAGAACAATTTATCGGAGCAAGACGACATTCCAACGATAATGCTGGGAAATTGAAGGAAGAGACCCAGGTTGCAAAATATGATAAGTAAAATCTAAAATGACAAATTAGAATGAACACTTACAATTTCACCACAGAGAACTCCATAATATGTCTGACTGTTGATGGTCATGTAGGGAGACAGTTTAAGAGAGTAACCGTTGTAGGCATATGACGTTCCATTGTAAATACTATCACAAAGACTGTAGGCCGTAGTATTTACATTGGCCAATGATCCGGACACCACAAATGTCACCACAATACTGCCTGAAAACAAAACAAAGCATACGTAAGATATATTCATTTCTGACCATTGAATCATATATATAGCGAGATACCAATAAGATGAACACTATTTCCACTCTTATAATAATATTTAAGACTTGATAACTTTTAACAAAAACTCAACATTTACATGACAACAAAACTAAATTTTTTAGATTTTCTATTAGAACTTCAATTCTAAATAATAGCAAAACAGTCCTTAGTATTATAGGTTACTTTTATAGCATACATACATGTGTTGCATTTTATATTTAAGTTTCTAGTTAATATACCAGAATGTAAACATTTTTGTAGAGGCACCCACTATTTGTGTAATGAAATATTGCATACCTTCATATATAGATCCGATTGACAGGTGTACATCTGGCCACATATTTGCATATTCTGTAAGAATCATCTGCTCAAACCCATTCTGTTTGTCAACATCTGGTAGCACTTTATCAAAATCTACATTGAACTTCACCTAAATTATACAACAGTAAAAGAACTTTTTATATAATTGAAAATAGTTTAAAATCGTAAAAGCTTAATAAATGATAAGTAAAATTAGATGCTTTCAGAGATTCATATAATAGTTTAGAAACAAATGTTAACCAACTTCCGTGTGACTAGTGTCATGTTGTGAAAGGTAATAACATGAGGTGTTTAGCATGTAAATTAATGATTTCATTTTTTAAGTAAATGTTAATTACCTTCACTTCATATGTTTCTTCAACAATCATGCCGACATGCGTTGGATTTTTTATTGGTATTTTGTGATTCATGGTCAGGTTAAAGTCAGGGGGGTCAGACACAACCCTGAACTGCAAATAAAATGTCCCAAAGCCGGTAAAAGAAAGGTCCGGAAACATCACACGTCCGGTAACTGTGTCAAATGAAATGGTGGTCGTGCCAGCTAAAGAAGCATAATCGGAGGCTGAAATCATTGACACATCGGCCGTCCAGGTATGATCCTGTAATAAAGTAAATATTGATTGTCATTGTATAAGAAACAGCATCGAATGAAAACAAGTATTCAAGGAAAATAACTTAACACAATCTTGCTGATTGAATTGAAATAGATTTTGTGTTCTTGTATAGTGTTTATATGCATATATTTATTACATTTGCTACAATTTTACAAATATCCACAGAAAGTTTGTTATTTATTGAATAGAATGCGTTTAAGCTTCAATCAGACGTATCAAATAAACAAAATAACTTACCCTCCAGCTGATATCAGTGATAGCCTCGTCAGTATTAGTGTCACGGAGATCAAGGATCATTGAAAACTGGCTATTTGTAGTAATATCTCCACTCGTTGCTTCATAGAGGTTAACCTTCAAAGGTCGCCCAGCAACGTCAAATGGATCCGTGGCAAGGGTAAAGTTCTCAGCCTCAGGTGGGTATGTGACGTTGAAGTCGAGTATATAACCTGTGCCCATGTGTGACATGGCAAGGTCAGAGAAGTTGAACCAACCATCGGAGCAGTTAACCATTAGGATTCCAGACAGATTGTTCGACGGATGTCCAGTACCCTGACGAACACTAACCGTCATTTGCCATGGATATTCAGCTGTTCCAAGTTCGGTCACTACATTGTTCTGCAAAGAATATATGAATCATTAATACTAAAGCTAAGCATTGTTTGGCATTGATAATAGTTTTTCAAAATTATCTATCAAATGAATTATTTGCAGAATTAACTTCCGAAAACAAAAACAAAAATAAACGTTTAGAACTTTTAATTTTACATGTATAGAATCATTTGTATGGTAGATGCGTAACAATGTGCGAATATGAATTCTACTTAATCGCTGGTTCGAAATTGCTTAATATGAACACAAACACTGATAACATTATGAAATTTAAATGACATTAATACTCACGGAAATATCAGCTGCACGTATTTTCGGTTGCGTAGTAAGGAGTATTCCTTCATAGTCGGCCACAGGTTTCGTGTAGAAGAAAAGATGGTCGGGTGAAGGTGTGTTGTATTTTATTGAAGCAACACTTGGATCAGTTGATGGCAATTCGACCGTCTGGCAACCTCCAGTGATGTTTAATGTCTGCGATACATTTCCAACTTGACACTCATTGACAATATCAGAAGCTAGGTTAAGCAATGACGTGTAATCAATGCTGTCCGACACGGTTGAATTAACATCTGCAATGACATAGAATATTGCTTACTGTTTAATGAAGAAAAAATGCCCATATAGCAAACAATGATGTTAAGAAAGATATGGCATCTGACATTCGTAAAAAACTTCAATGAAACGAGTGCACAACTAAATTTAACCAAACCAATACCTTTTCAACTTTAATTATTCTCATTTATTCAAACAGACGCTCAAAACAAAAGTTCTGTTATAATTACACTTACAAGATCATATTTAAAGCAATATGCAATTGATATGCATGTATTACACATGTACAAAGAAAAACAAGAGTCATGTGTGATAACGATTACAAAGAAAGGTAAACTTTTGTTGAAAACACTTAAAATTCCGAAGATTTTGTATCACTAATACCTGAAGCAGGCTCGTCTCCTATTTCCACCTCGACAGTTATTCCATTACTTGAACGTCGTTTACGTCTTCCACTTCCAGCGGCACTGACTACGTTCATAATTCGTACCTTGGTCAGCGGTATATTCAAGAAAGCCGCCAAGTTTTCAACCAAATTATCTCCATAGAAATCAGCGACTGTTAATGCAGGTAGACCAAATGAGACGATTATAGTGTCAGCAGATTTGATGTCAATCTGTTCTTGGCCCATTATTATAAATGTGATCTCCCCGCGGTCCTTATCATAGTAGTTTGTTCCTGTTCCGTTGGCAAGCTGGGGTTCATATTCATTGCCTGAAAGAATAATATCATTCAACGTTGGTGTTTAAAGATTAAACAGTGCTTTTAAAAGGTTTGAATTGTGTCCCAAAATGTGATGTATTACTTCCATGTTGTTCTAGAGTAAGTTATGTCCACATAACTACATTCAGTGTTTTAGTGTTTAAAACATTCAAATTTTACCAGGATAAAATTCTTACGAAATTCATCCTACTTTTTTGTTTTCATTGAGTTGTATGTATAATATACTGGCAATTTGTGCTTTACTGTTTAAACTAAACTAGCATTTTTTCAGCGTGATCATTTTTATTACTACTAGCTTTATGTTGTAACATAGAGATCATTTATATTTCCCATGAAGCAATGTAATCATTTGTATTTATTTTATGTCATAGTGATCTTTAAAATGTACCGTGCTGTGTCATAGTGATCATTGAAGTTTATAGTGTTTAAACATAGTGAATATTGAATTTTACTGTGTTTTGTCATAGCGAAAATTGATATTTAAAGTGCAGTGGCACAGTGAGCATTGATATTTACCTTGTGGCATAGTGATGATGTATCTATTGTTGCTATCAATCCTTGCATTAGTTGCAATCTTGAACTGTTCATTCACAAACACATCCAATCTGTTTGGTCTTGAATACCACACAGTAAGTTTAATTCCCTCATTCGCATTTACGTTCAAAAGTCTGTATCGCATGTGTTTAGGCGTTGTGCTTGTAAAATGCATCAGATATTCGTGGTCTAAAATGTAAAAGTATATTTGTATGAGATCAATAACCATATTTATAGATTCACTCATATCAGCTTTATCGTAAAGAAATGTGAACAATGGGTTAATATTATTTCTTGTAAAATGACAAACTTAAAATTATCAAACGTCCCTTTTTGCATAAAAGAATATTTCGTTATCAATTACATTTTAAAAGCTCTCTATTCACAAATAATTCCTAACACATTCGTTTCAAGATATGTTTAGAACTAGTCATTAAATCTTTTAATACGAGAAAATCTTCAAGTTAATGTAAACAAATTATACAGAATTAAGTGGTTCCCAGACATTTATCGAAGACTGTTAACAAATCACCTGAAGATGAACATGTCCAGTTAAGATTAAGCTACATGTATGTAAGAATAAGTGGCCATAATGGCGCGTATATGTAACAAAAATATATAGTAATGACTGCTTAATTCTACATTTTATGACAATTGTTAAGTTGAAATAACAATTTGGAGTACAAATTCTGTCTTCAGATTCATTCGGAATTTACGATAACTATTGTAATCCTAATCATCTGCTTTGAATTACAGGTTCATAATACCAAGATACCATTAAAAAAATAAAAAAATCACACCTGTAGCAACAAGTGCGTGGAAAGTTGAAACCCTCTTCCTACACGTGTATCCGCTGCACCACCCGTGGTCCTGAGGACCGTTAATTAGATCAATGTATCCATCTCCTAAAATGGCAACTGGTGAGAGTCGTCGAGTTTCTGTATCTGAGTCCATGCTTTCTATCACAAGCATCTCGTAATTCATATCGTCGAAACATTCGTATGCTTGCCAGTTAGATACATATGTGCAATTTTCACTACGGATAATACCTGTAAAAAAGCAAAATTAAGAATAAATATAAGACTTTTATCTTGGATATGTACTACAATGTACTTTCCAACTTAGGAAATACTCTGAAGAAGTGATATAACATCATATGAAAGAACAGAAATAAATGCAAAAACATTAAATTTATCATAGTATGATATTTTTTAAATGAACTCAATTGTCTTTAACCTTGCACTCGGCCAATTAAAGTTACATATACAATGTATTTGAAAAGATAACAAAGCAGATCAATATGGAAATATAAAACAATATTTTAAGGTATTTACCCTAGCACACATTGAATTACATAATATGCTTGTTGTTGTTATTTTGGGGTTTTATTTATTTAATATACTTCAAATACTCTTAAAACTTGAAACTTGAAAACTTGATTTAAAAAAAACGTATAATTACCTTTGTTTGGAGCAATAGTATTATATGGAATTCTCACACCATCAACAGTAGTCACCATTTCTTTTGGTATCCTATAGTCGCCAAGACCTCGTCTCGGATCACCGCCCCATTCATATTCTGACTGAGGGATTACTGTCCCAACATGACCTAAGAATGTTCCATCCAAATCCTTAAACATAGCCTTCTTTAACGCATCACAGTCCATGTCAACACAATCGGCAGAATTGATTTTTCTGAAATGTTAATGATTCGAAATTGTGCAAATTTGGTTGTTTTTGAAGTTCTATTTGCTAAAATTGTTTTGAATCATTAACTTTAAGAGGTATGTAATAGTGAAAATCTAGAGTGTTTATTACTGTGCAACATAAAAATATGAATCGTTCATTGTTTGAGTATTAATAAATGTTGCAGCATATGTATGTTTCTACTTACCCAACATTCGGTCTGTGATAAATGATTTTGTGGCTACTGTCCACGTCAATCAAAGTTGTCCTTTCTGATGTCATTGGGTGTTGTAAATCATCGTTAGCTGTATTCGTTGTCACAGCATAGTTATTCTTGCAAGCAGACTGTCCATACTTTGCAAACGTGACATCAGAAATAGTAGTCAAACCACCGATGGCATTGTAACTCATGAGGCCTTTGAATGGTTTGATTGGAGCTTTATTTGACCCTGAATTATAATTTGGAAATACAAGCCCAACCATGCCGCCATTGGGAGGAGAACTTGGACGAGAGTTTGCAGAAAGCACTGTATTGTCGTCCGGTGATGGCAACCTATCATTTGCACAATCAAATGATGATGTCTGTCCAACAAATGTTGTATTTTTTATTTCCACACGTTTATCAGCATAAACATGACTTAATATACCTGGTCCGTTGACAATCGCTACCAAACCATTGGAATTTTCAATCAATAAATTATTTTCGCTGACAAAATTAACTTTAGATTGATAATAGATACCAAAGTCATGATTTTTCCATGCAAGAAAACCGCTCAATTTGGCACAATCTGTAGGGGCTGGATCAGCTGGAAGGACAACAGCTCCGAGTATGTTTGCATACATTCTATTATTACTGTAGTTTCCTGTATTGTCATCACATTCTAGAAGAGGCACATGGAAAGCTATTCTTTCTGATGCCGTAACAAGATTGTCTTGAAGAACAAGCCTCTTTGCTGACATTGCCTCAATTCCAGCCTCCCATCTTGGATTAAATTCCTCAAAACGGTCCTGGTAACTATTTGTGGCTACCACCAAAGCTACCAGATTATGTTTAAGGACTGTGTCATCAGAGCTTGTGGCAATACCTGTAATATACAAATTTATTTGTTTATTTCGTATAAATATTTTTCCCTGTATGTGAAAAATTAACGTATCCACGTTTTGTAAAAAGAGTCACGCATTAAGAATTTACACTACTTATCCCATGATAAATGTTATTATTTTTATTAACAAGTAAATCAACATGGAAATATTATTTCTTACAAATGCACGACAAGTTATGTTCCATTACTTTTGGCAAATAATATCTGTTTGCTAGCCTTAATATTACAACAAAACGAAATTAACAAATTTTAAAATAAATTATATCAACAACTTAAATAAGTAATACCATTTCCGATTGATCCGAACACAACGTTGTCCATAATGTTTAGACTACCGATCCCGAACGCTCCTATGGCGGTGTTGAACCCATTGTGGAAAGAGCATTTTGTAACAATAGACGGTCTGATGTCACTAACTGTCCCCACTGCCACAAACGCAACTGAGAACCTAGGGTCATACTCCTCGGTATAACCTTCTTGTCCAGTATGATAAAACTCCACGTTTGACAATCGAGCATATCCTTAAACAAAAGTATTAATTCATATAGACATATAATTTCAAATCTCATACAATATAAAATATGCCACCTGAATCGCGAATTTAGTGAACACTTACTTTAAGAGGTTTAGGAATGAAAAAAAAATCAAAAAAGAGTTATTCTTTCCTTTCAAAGCTTCTTTGCCAAGTTTATTAGTTAAAGCAGATTTCAAAGAAACAAATTAATTTAAAATTAATTGAAATACCTGCGTATGTTTCCCCTTTATCTACAACAAGACCAACTAAGACTCGAGCCCCATAAGATTCTTTATACAGTTTGTCATAATCTTCACCAATGATCTTAATATTACGCGATAAAAGGCCAACAGCGGCTCCCATTGATATAGCCACACCATTTGCAAGGGTTTCATTATGAGCTGTAAAGGTGACAAAAACATGCAGTTAATAAAACAGCAAGTACTGAATGAAATATAAAGTTTCTATGTGAGTATGAGTATTTTATGAGTATCTCTTTAACTTAACTGTGAATAACATTATAATATCTTTATATATAATACACAATTTAAATGCAGAAACAAAACTGAATACTTGTAATCAAGATATTTGGATTTTAAAATCACAAACGCATGCGTAAGATTAAAACACAGTGACAAACCGATACTTCCATTGCTCCATAATTCTTTAAGAGGAAGAAATAATTAAATAGAATATTTACCTATATGTTTGTATTTCAAAGTCTCGTTTAAAGTCAAAGTAATATTGTCTGAGGCAATGGCGGTGATTTTAAAGGATTCAGTCTGCCAGACATTAAAGCTGGTGGAACCGACAACGATTTCATCATCAACCGACCACTGTACTTGTTCTTTTAATGTTATCGTATTAGAGCCAGCATTAACAGTAGCTGCTAGCTCAGTCCAAGTTGTTCCTTCATCTTTCCCGAACAGATCCAGTCCTCCAAACACTCCTAGAAGTACATAGTATTGTTCTAGACACATTGGTATTAGCAAACAGCTACTTAATATTTTAGATCTTTGAAAATTAACAAACAGAAATAAACCACATTTGATAAAATTATAATATTTTCCTGGATGGATGTTGTTTGTCACACAGACACGTTTACTATGCTATCCTTCATTATCTTAACTTTTGTTGAAAGGTATATGGGAATATATATTCTCTTGCTTAAGGTGAGTGAATAATTTAGTACATGTACTCGTAATAAAACATATTGTATTGAAAAAACTTAAGATAACTTTACAGATATTTAAACATAAATAACCACTTCCAATAATCTTTAATGATACAATAAGAGAAAAATGAAAACGATTTTGAAACCTGCAATTGATAGGAAATATAAGAATGTTCTGACAAATGAAGTAAATAAATAGTGAACTTAAAGAGTAAATTAAAGGAGATAAAGCTTTTCTTACCAATAGCCTTTGAACCTAGCGTTGGTCCGACGCCAGCATTATAAAATGGTGAAGAATGATTCCCACGAAGAATGATAGATGCCATTCCATCAAACGGATCATCCGGCCATCCGACAATTAAACGCCCACCTTTTATAACAATGAAATCAGCTTCTATAACATACTGAGCTGACGGATGATCGGCAAATTCTAGAACGCCCTCTATCAACAGTATCCCAATCTTATTAATTGACGTCATGTTCACCATAACCCAAGTATCTGTTAAATATAATACAAATCAATTAATATTTTACAGAATTAATGTAATCATTACGTAATTGTTAAAATTAATGGAATGAATTCAAATACAAAACATCAAGAATTGACGTGCAAGGGAAAGTAGAAAATAAGATAAATATTTTTAATAAAACTATGATATAAAAACTTTCTTCATTATATTTAAAAAATGCAGTAACCGCTTTGTCCTTTAACAATGTGTATTTTACATTATAAAATCCATTTTAATTGAAGTATTTATTCAAATTCTGTTCAAGAGTTACTGGTATTTACATGAAATACATGCTAAAAATCAATGGGTTTGTTGGTGAAAAAAACTTATGTTACTTGCAATTATAATAGTATTGCAAGCAATCCATAAGTCCCCTACCGGTTAGAACCCCATCAACATTCTGAAGGGCCATTGGCCATTCACTAATGTTTCAATTTTTCTCTATTTTAAGTAAACTTGTTGGAAAAGTTCTTTAAAAGTGATCACAGGAAACAGTTTTTATGAACAGACAGACAGACGGACTGAAGGACACTCTAAAGTTAATATTTGAAACATCCCTGTTACCAAAATATAACATTTTAAAAGCAAAATTCTTAAAGAGGAGATAACTCTTGAATTAAAGATGCAATTTCATAAAAAATTTCAGCTCTTTTTAACTAATCACAAATATTGTTATTTTTGCCATGTTTTAAGCCTATTTGTTGCCAAGGCAACTGATATTTTTTCAAAATAGGAAGAACAGATAAGACATGCATAATCTCAAGACTGCTATCTACCCATATGTCAAGTTTCATAAAAATATTTCCAGTACTTTTTGAGTTATCACTGGATTCAGTTTATGTGTAAAATTTGCCATATTTTCAGTCTATGTGTTGCCATAGCAACCAGAATTCTCAACATAGGAAGAAAAGAAAAAGACGTGCATAATCTCCATACTGCCATCTATCCATATACCAAGTTTCATAAAAATATTTTCAGTACTTTTCAAGTTATCGCGGGATCCAGTTTTGTGGACGGACGGACTGACGGACTGACAGACAGACGGACGGACAGACGAACAGACGGACGGACGGACGGACGGAGGGTAAACCTAAAGTCCCCTCCGGTAAACCGGTAGGGGACTAATAAAACAGGTTTTCTTTTCAATTTAACATTGTTCAAGGTTTTGCTAAAAATATATCTTTAAACACTTACTTAGAAGAATCCGGACATTTTCATAATCCTGCGGTATTTGTGTACCATTAAAACCAACATTTGTTACATAACCGTCATCTGTTTGATTCCATACTGACTCATCATCCCAATAATCGTAACTCAGTGGTCTGTTTATTGCTGGAGGTATCGTCCTCGGGTCCGGTGGTGGGATACAGTTGTCATAGTAACATTTGAATGAGGAAAACGTAAACACATTGTCTACAGACAATGCTCCGACAGAACGCCGAGAACGCTGTCTACCATGAACTAAAAATAAGGATTGATTGTTTGACATGACATGAAAAGTTTGAGCATTTCTGTTCATTTATTGCATTTTTCCAAACGAGTTCATTTCTAAAGGAGTAAATTACGCAAAAAAACCCCAAATGTAAATGGATGTATAGAACACCCAGCTTATATACAAACGCCTTATACTATCTTATGCTGATTAACATGGTTAAAAACAGTGAATGACAAAGGGTTTTAGATGTCAAATGCATATTAATAAAATATACACTTTGCAATTGAAAATCTAAGATAAAGACTTAATCAGTTTTGAGAAATACTATATACAATGCAGTAGGCACTGGTTTTATAAATAACATATTAAACAATATTAATATACTGAAATTTCGTACCAATGAACTTTATTTTGTTATTTGCATTGTCCCATTCCCAGTCACCATTCTTCGCTGTTGATGGATCAATGCCACCAACTGTGGCATTAATAAATGAGTTTCCACCATCAATTGTGAATCTATCTGGAGCTTCAAACACATTCAGTTCCACAAATATATAGTCCTCAGACTGGAAAGAAAATGAATCATTCAAATAATACACTGAATATAGTATAAACCATTTAAATAAATATTATTTCTAAAATATTGTGCAAAAAGAGTGAGAAAGTAGATGGGTAAGTGCATTAAGAAATTCACATGTATGATGAAAGCATACATAATACCAGTGTATTTTATTGACTCTTTAAATTTCAAAAAATGACTTGAAGACAATTTCTAACTCATACCCCAAAATCATCAAATCGACCAGTAAAGCTGATATTGCGGATTTGAGCTGCATTTTCAAAATGGTACTTGTAGGTAGCGCCACTGAGGAAAGCACACATCCAACCTGGTTTGTGGGTTATTCTCTTCTTTAGGAAAGGCACAGAGCTGTTGCCATACTGATTTGTAAAAATAAAGTTCTTCCCCTCAAGGGATTTTGGAGAAGGGTTGTTGAAGGCAAATCTATGCCACTTATGTTGTGGTGGGCACATACTTCCAGGTAATCCAAAACTGAATTCTGAAGCTGCCTCACAGTCAGATGGAATAGATCCAGATGTAGGCAATATCGTCCAGTTTCCAGACTTCCCGGTTGTTGTTCCATCTTTATCGAGAATGATACCTTCCCATTCCCAACCATAAGAAGCTTTGTTTGGAGCATTTACATATTTTAGTGCCTCAACGTGATAACTAAATCCACCACAACCAAAACTACAAGTGCCGGCTATTTTTGCAAAGCCAAACACATAGCAAGATTCAGCAAAATTAACGAATCTTGTATTAACTACTCTAAATCCTGGACCCATCGGAAGGACAATGGCAGCAGTTGTACATCCTTGGTGATTAATTGGATGAACAGTGGTTTTACCAACGATTAAACTATCCTTTACCATGGGAGAATCATCAGTGTATTTAGGAACAGCAGCAATACTTTTACATTCATATCCAGCAAGTCTGTTTTGAACAAGGACAAAGTCAACAAACTGCAAAGCACCGGTGTTAACTGATTCTGCACCTTTATCATTATTCCAAGCAAAGAGACTTTCAAACACAGCTGGTTCTACCTCAGTGCCACCACATCCACCCTTTAACGGAAAGTAACTTTCAAAAATCCATAATCCAAACCAGCCAAATGAATGTGCCGAGTTATTTCTGAAGATACCCAATGGCTGGGCTCTTGGGCACACACTTTTTGTAAACGATGGACCGTCCGGATGTTCGTGCATTCTGTACCAGTAGCCAAAATGGGTTCCACCAGCTGCAGCATTATGTTGGATTGTATTGTTTGGATTTGTTATCCAGTAAGAGGCAGGAGTAACATCATCATTCAATAAGCTTGAACTTCCAATCACAAAAACGGCTAAGTTATATTGCAAGGTGTTTCCTGTCTCAATACCATCTTCTAAAAAGAATGCGCCTCCCATGATGTCGTAAATAACAGTTTTTTCTACCAATGTATTGTGCGTGCCATGAATATTAACAGCCCTGTTGAAGGTTTTATGAATACCACATCCTCTAACATAGCTTGTCGACATATCACCATTCAAATGGAAATGTATTGGATATCGTCCTAGTCTAAAAGCTTGTCCAGCAAATGTGACCTCTACGTATGAAATGCGAGCCTGTGCTTCATGTGTATCATATACTGGTGCGTGTACAAGGATCATAGCTCCAAACTGACTACTACCTATCTCGTCACCAAACCTTCCTTGGAAGCAAGTCTGTGTTGCGAACTCGCCTGTAATATTAAACAATTATTTAGTTACACCGTTTTAATCTCATTTTTCATATCAAAAACTTTAGTTTTGTTTATTAGAAGAAGTACAATAATAATGACTGAACTTTCAAGATCTAATCAATTTGGGCAAGTACTAAAGTTACAAGCGTTACCCACCAACGTTAAATCCAGCTGCACAAGCTTTAATTTCGTCTTGCCATTGAGGATCTTGGTTACCGCGGACAACTACATTATGTGTTAGAAGTCCTACTTCCCCTCTCATTTCTACAAGAGTACCATCAAATGTTTCCTCAACACCTACATGCTCTGCCTCAAGTGCCGAATCAAGAGTCAATGTTCGATTGTCTTGGGATATAGCAGCAATTCTCTTCTTTTCATTGTCTCTCTGGCTTTGCCGATGACCTGTAGAAGCAATGACTATTTCGTCACCTACATTCCACTCAACGGGGTCAACCAGCTCAAGAGTGTTGGAGCCACTTGCAGATGTAGATGCAAGGCGTGTCCAGGTTAGCGGAACCTCTTTACCTAAAACAAGCAAAAACTCAATACATTTGTAATAATTTAGGCTATTTTTATGTTTATTAAAGTTTGTAAAGAATGTAAAAATGAAAAAAAAATTATAATCATTTCAAATTTGGATAATATATTTTTCTAAAAGACATAAAATATTTTCACAGACACTTGCTTTCATCTTGTTTCGGGAAATTAATCAGGTAAAAAAAACTTTATTGAATAAGTACTAGCAAAATACAAGCATACAAAAACTGCATTGTATGTTGACATAAAGAAATATTTAATATCATGAAATGTACATACCATGCAGGTCTAAAGTGCCGTTCCTTACGGCAAGAACTTTGGTACCGTATATAGGGAGCTCTTTACTTCTGTGGTGGCCATGTAATGTTATGATAGCCTTGTGCTCGAATGGTTTGACTTCAGTACCTACTTGCAATAGTCCTCCGTCTGTTATCATAATAATGTTTGACTGCAGTTCTATATTCTTCTCATCAAAAATAAGTCGACCACCTAATAAGGCATAAATAAACGTTTGCTTGTTTAGTTTCACGGCATCACAACACGATATAGGTTATATGGCAACAGGGCATATGATTCTGGCTAACCTTGGGAGTAACACTAGGGGTCAAAACCACCTCACCTGCTGGATCTAAGAGATGAATAGACTCTAGTTATAAATTCGAATCCATATAGTCTTACGATCACGCAGGGATAAACGTTGGTTGCAATACTGATGCCTCTTCTCTTAAAGGCAACACTTTAGCCACCAAAAGAGTAACAAAAAAGAAACATTTAACCGATAAATGATTTATCACATTTAAAGCAATTGTATTATTGTAAGTAAACTTGTTTCTGTTTTAAATGTCAATTATTTCAGAAAAAAATAAAGAAAATATTGACCTTGAATTAACAGGAACGAAAGTATAGGTGTATCCATGTCCAGCAGTAATGTCATACCAGCAGGTATAATAACAAACTCGCCGGCTTGTGGCAGAGGGCCGCCGCCCCATGTAAATAATGAAGACCATACATCAATGTATTCAAAGTCAGCATCTCCCGACGAGCTCTGAAAATAGTTATTTTTATCGTTTAATGAATACATATCATCTTCTCATTAAAAAATTTAGAATCATATGCTCATTATTTCCATCATTTTGTTGCAAGTTATCACGAAAAATCAAGTAATTTAAAGTGTATTTAGAATTACGCATATTCTCAAATAAACCTCATTCCATAAATAAAATATACCCCTTTTTGACTAAGAAAATCGAGCTATCAAGATAAAACAGTTCCATATAAACAAGGAAAATAAACAAAAATGTTAACACTGGTGGTGCTTCCAGTATATAAATCATGCAAAAAAAAACTTAAACAACAAAAATATTAAAATACACAAATGAAAATCAAATGGTAAACATTTTTTTTATTTTGACGATATTTTATCTATTTTTTAGTAATTTATTAAAAATAAACGAGAATAAAGATCAACAAGGCAAAGGCAACATTCATAGGACGCAGCCCAAACATACTCAAGCTACCACAATACAGCATCCAGAAAGCGCCGATATCAAACCAAAACCAGGACCCACTTCTTCACCCTTTTGTAAAATGTAACCCCTCAGGGCGTTTTCAGCATATCCAAAAGGGAAAAAGAATCCCCAAAGAACGACAAAATCGAAAATGTTGCAGACTCGGTTTGACTGAGCCTGTACATGAACCGTACTGGAAAGTGCAAGTTACCATCAATGCCTCGTAGCACCTAGCAGAATGAAAAAGATTAACAGATTTTCACTAAAAGACTATTTCAACAAACCTCTTGAGCAATTCCGTTTCCAGACACTTGAACTTCCACTTTAGTGTTAATAGAACCCATGTGCGGTCCTGTCACACATTCTATTTCAGTATCAACAACACCAGACACAACACAAACAGTACCATCAATCTCAACATTAACGTTTCCTTGAACAATCCTGAAACATTCATGTCATTGAAATATTATCTTGAGTGAGTGATATTCTTAACTTAATAGAATTATTTTTATTTTAAAATTTGAAGTGAAATCAAATATCAAAATGTATGAATTCTGAGGGATATGTATATCTTAATCATGTGCATTCACTAAGTTAAGGAACATTAGAATGCATTTGTTTAAACTGAATGATTCTTTCTGTCTTAAGCGTACAATTTAGATAACGGTTATTAATTCTCAGGCTGATATTTATGAATAACTTACCCAAAACCTGACCCAGTGATGGTCAAGGTTGTGCCGCCTCCAGTTCCACCTCTTCTTGGAATCACGGCATAAATAGAGGGTGTGAGAGTTGAATCGTACGTATAAGCATTTGGAAGAGTTTTTGTCAAGCCATTTAAAGTTATTGAAACACTGCAAGACCCATCTACAAATGAAATATTAATATTATGGAATTATTTACACATTCTGTGTTATATTTAGTAAATACCACATACATTTATGTACTTACTTATGCCTGACAAAATTTATATTAAAAACAAGGTGCATTAATAAAACACAATGGTTGCATGCCCCCTAGCTATTAGAAACAGCGAACTTTACCATTCCCTATGAGAAAAAAAAACGAAAAAACAATGAAGACAAGTAATAAAATTTATTTTCTAAATTTTGTTCACTGAACGCCAAGGTTGTATAGGTTGTCAGACAAAGATATCATTCATTCCCCTTTCTTTTTTATTTCATAATTTTCTGGAACTCACCCAAAATCAGTGAAAACAATAGCATAAAATTAAAAACCAAACTTTGTACTTTAATGAACAGTGATACAGAAATATGATTTGAACAGTTTTACCTGTGCCTGACGGTGTTTTACACGTGTACGATGATGATGTAACAAGGGTTTGTTGGCAAGTCTGTCCGCAGATTGTAACAACGGCTGAATCGTCAAACCCTGTTCCGTCTATGACCACAATTTGACCACCTGCTGTACCACCTAACAAAGATAAATAAAAAAAAACATAAAAAATATAATTTCCAGATAAAAGTTTACTTATTTTTGGATAATCTTACATTTATCACTCCATAAGACTCTTATTAACATCTTTCAAAGCTGTAATGGGAAGATTGGTCTCTCTTGTTTAATATAAGAACAACAATGGAAATTAGAGTCTCTCTTTTTGTGCTATTTTGGTGTTGTATGTCGTGGTTTATTTATTCTCATGCATGGTATGTACATATCCATGCATATATATAATCTCTTCCGAAATAAATCTTATCTAAATCTAATTGGAATAGCTTAAACTACTTAATTAAATATTTCTTAAACCTGAAAATGAAATTTTTGCATGATATTTACTGTTTTCGTTTTCCAACACTTATGAACTTTATATCTACATGCGTGTCAAATTTTAACAAATGTCACTCACTAATATTATGTTATAAAGAATAGATTTGTACACAACGAAATAATTTTTGTCAATTTACCTCGAATTGGGAGAATACTATCAATACTAAGCTGGTATTCAAATTGAATGTTTGAGTTTGAATATCCAAGATCTGCAACGTGTGCAAGAACATTAGCCATTCCAGTTGGATGATCCCCTATAGTGCACTTGATTTCACCCGCATTTCCAGAAATGTAGTCACAACTAGACTGTCCAATTGTGACAGCAACATTGCCTCCGCTTAAGTTTGATCCAGTAATTGTCAATGTCTGTCCGGCGACTCCGAAGGTAGGGTTTAAAGATGTGATAGTTGGTGTTGAGCTGGTTGCGTAGTTGTATGTCGAAGACTCAGATATGCTGTTTGATGTCACAGCAACAGTGGTAGACCCAGCAGCATGGGCTTTTGTTACACATATCACTTCAGAAAGAGATGTAGACTCTGTCTCACATGTAGTTCCGTCAATAGTAACAGTTGTTTGATTAACAAAGCCATTTCCTTCAATTGTTATTTTAGTGTTACCATGAATACTTCCAGAAGAGGGAGAAATTCGACTAATCGTCAGTATTCCAGATACCGTTAAACTTCCTGACGCTTTACCATAATCTTTAACTCGTACAAATACATCATTGTTCCCTGCAGGGATATTATCAACGTCTACGACAAGTACTGTTCCGTTGACTGAAGTAACAGTTCCCATAACATTACCAAATGAGACACTAACTTCCCCAGTAGTAGTACCAAGAGCTGTTCCAAAGATTGTGAATGAAGTTGATCCAGACATGGATGATGGTGAAACCCCTGAAACAGTCGGAGTATATAAGGTAGCGTAAGAGTAAAGGCACTTTTTCAAAAATGTTTCACATTCTGCTGGAAGAGATGCACCATTTACAAAAGCTTCCACTGTAACATCTTTCTGACCTTCAATTGTATGTCTTGGAGTTTCACACACGATTTCCTTATAAGTTTTGGTGATGATATTGCACTGGTATCCATCTACTTTAACCATTGGCGAATCACCAAATCCATAACCAGAGACTGTTAAAAGGGCGCCACCAGCCAATGAACCAGATGTTGGTGTAATGCGTTCAATATTTGGTATAACGGCAAAACCTTTATCCTTGGGATTTACGATATTAATACGTGCGTTACCTCGATTGTGTACCCTCATATCTATCTGATGTAGTATTCCTAATTCAGGTTCTCCTGAATTTTCCAAATTACATGTAAGAGTGTCTTCAAAAGATGATTTCACTATGCAGGGGATGCCACCAAAACTGACCTCATTCTGGCATTCTGTGTTAGAAAAACCTTCCCCATTTATAACTATATCTGTCTTCGTTGTTCCATTATTAACACTGACCGAGTTAACAACAGGTGAGCTACAGGTCCAGAAGGCAAAGTTGAACTTGTTAGCGTCACTTACAGCTGCCTTACTGTCAGAACAGGACTGTTTGCCTGATGTAACAGACTGACAGTTAGACCCATCTGATGGATTTGAAGCACCTGGAAAAAAAATTTTATATACATTTTCTTTTTGAATTAAATAAGATGTCATATCACTGTATATTCAAACTAAGAATAGTTCAGTTTTATTGTCAACGGCAAATATTCAAATTATTTAAAGGGAATGCTATTAACAAAGGAAGTATTAACATAAAATATGAACAATTATTCTGCTCACCTCCGACGTTATGCAAGGCTTCTGCTCTCCCTACTTTAACACTAACTTCTCCGAAAGTTGATTGTGCAGGCACAACTTCGATTGTACCGTGATAATATTTGATACCATAGATGTCGACAAATCCGCTCCATACGTAGTAACGACCAGCCTTCACAAACTGATGTCTAAAGCTGCCTAAAATTCACCAGGATATAAAAGAAGGGTTACGTATTTTATCAGGATGTAAAATTAAGATATAAAGTAAAGGTTACCTGTATTATAAAGATATCACGTGTATCTTTACAAAGCATTATAGCAGTCAACTATCACAAGTTTCTACAGAGGCATTGCAATTTAATGAATTTGCATCTAATAATCTAGCTCTTAGCCGACTTATTAAACGTTTTAATTATGAAACAATTTTGAAATAAAATCACATATTTTCTATTTTTCTATTTTACATTTGGATTAGAAAGATTCTGTAATTTTTAGATTTATAAAAGCTGATGAACATAAGTTTATACCATCTCTGCTTGCACTGCCACTACTAAATCCGCCTTCCTTAGCAACAGTAGCACTCGGGCTTTCTACTTCCGTTATAGAATGTGCGATATCGTTAACAAATGCTGGCGTTTCCCATGACCAGTTAACAAAATCTCCTTCGTTAATGGTTATAAACGGTTTGTCATAGGCGTAGTAAACACCAAAAGCTAAAACACAATATCCAAAGCACAATATTTACATGTAAAACTGACATGATACATATCTAAAATATAATTATTGACTGCTAATAAAGATCTGTTTAAACTTTGCTAATGTATTTTTGAAAAGTTTATACCAGAAAAATCTCCGTACATCCCAATATGTTGCTATTCAGGCGAAAAACCTTGTATAGATACAAAATGATTTCATTTTAATATAAAACATGCATTTTCCAGAATTATAATAAAATTACTTTTTACTTATATTTTTGTACATCATCTGGTATATAAACGCTAAGGGAATATAGTTATTTGTATACAAACGCTGCTATTTTATTAACAACAAAAATATACAAAATATGAAATAGCTAAAGATTGAGTGTATTGACATATTTTCCTCACCTGGATCAATGCCCCTATTTGTTACTTGGTGAATTGTTCCTGCATCTTCAATTTGACAGAGTATCTGAGTGTTGGTTAAAGACGAGATTTCACAATTGACAGCCCCAATCTTCACAACCACAACGTTATCGTCAGTTCCGAATCCTGATCCTGTTATTGTCAATTTCGTTCCACCTAACAATGAACCTTGTAGAGGGTAAACATTTGTTATTTTCAAATCAACATTAACTGTTGGTAACTCGAAAGTGTTCCTGTAAAAAAATACAATAAATACAGTTAGTTAAATACTTAAGGTAATAAATAACACAAAAAAATCAAACAACATACAAACAATGATAATGACAAATTAACACAATCATTAGAATGAAAATTAAAATTTAAAATTAGTAATATACGATCCGTACGTTTTTACGGCATATCCATTTGCGGCTTCTATCCTGAGCTCTTGGCTGCCGGAGAAAACATCACTAACAGATATCACGATTTGACTATCCGACCAAGATGTAATGTCTGCTTCAACCGAACCAACAAATACAGAGCCATTGTTTGAAGAAAATGACGACCCAGATATAGTTATATTATCACCTGAAACAACAATAAGAAAAGTAAAATAAATGTTTTCTGAACAAAGGTGCTTTATTAAAAAATGCCGTTTATTTAAACACATTCATATATTCACTTAAAGTTACATTAAATAAATATGTAAAAATATTTTGCCGTCGGCCTAAAAATCAAACATTCTACAGTTTCATTAACCTGTTTAATAGTATTGTTGTAAATCTCATCAAATATTGTTCATAAATTAGGATTTTAAACGGGAAACCTCACGGTAACACTAAAGTACGTATACGAATTTTAACATGCAAATGAAGACTATAATGAGCTCGTGTATGCGCTACGTCACGGTGTTATAGTTGCTATCCGGAACACAGCAAATGTGATATTTTCTTGTGCAAACACAGTTTTACCGTTTTAGCTTCACGGTGCACTAAACCTGGGGTTCAGTAAAAGTAATCATCTCGTAAAAAGATTAAATTTGTATGAAAACATCCGTTACAATGCGGAAATATACCGTTAAATTAGGACTGCCACTTATAGTCATGTTTGTTGATTTAATATTGATGTACGGATGATCCGAAGGCGGAGTTTCTCATGCAAACAGAAATTGTACTTCCCATTTCGCCACAATGAGGTTACCTATTTTCATGCTAATAAAACTCATTTTGGTTGTTTGGACACCAAAATAAGACCTGGAGTCGATATAAAACCCAATTTATTAATGAAATGTCGCTATTTAGTTTTTTATGAAATTTATTAAATGTAACTTTAATCGGACATTTTGTTTGAACTTTTAGATGTAGCAGACATAAATGTCATTATAGTCGTGTATCAAGGATTTGAATTTAGTATTTACAATTGCCTGAATGCTAATAAAAACACGCTGCTTTATCTTTTTACAGTCGTGTTGCATTTTATTCTGTGTTCAGCCTTTAAATAACGTATGATTTCAACTTTCAAAAGCAGAGCAAAATATGTTCGGATGTGAATAAAGCATAATTTAATTTACCATAAATATAAGAAAATAAATGCATTACCTGACACGTCTATTGTCGCTGGAACTACATTGCTTACTAAGGCGGTCAGTCCAGAATCGTATGTATATCCAGAATAACTTAACGAAGAAGATTCCTGATCAACGACCACATCGTAAGTACCGGCAGATGTCTAAAGTTTGAAAAACATGGTAAGAATTTAAAATATAATAATTTTCATTTGCAAGGCAGTACATAATGCAATTGCATAGATATGATACAGAACATGGTAAAATATTTCTCACACAGATGTCGATGTTATGATTGGCAGTAAGGCATGGCAAATTGAGGAGATTTTAGTTGTCAATTTTGGCATTTTAGACACCTTGGTTGAATCACTTACTTTCCATTAGCTGTGATCCTTGTAATTTACAAACTTAACAATTAAATTTCATTGTATATAAGCATATTTAAAATATCTTAAAATTCCGTGTTGATATTTCATTTTTCATTATCATAGATTAAGGCAAAGCTTGATTTCAAATATAATCTGACAAGTATGACATGAAGGGAGGTTATTATGTTTTCACGTGAATTTCTTACCGATTGTGGGACCAAACACACAATTGTATCTGCTTGTATTGAGACAACAGGACAATTCTTGGAGTTGATTGTTACATTTGCACCGTTTTTGAAACCAAAACCACTGATTGTTAGATTGCCACCACCTAAAAATCCACGAAAAATACTAGTAATAGCAACATGTATACGTTTAAAATGTTCACTGAAATATTTTAATAAATAAAGTCCTAAAAATTAAAGCCTTGAAAAACTAATCTCTGCCCGAAGAATGCATAATTAATTTCTTTCTTGATGAACTAAAATTGAAATTATATTTTTTTTTCTGTCAAATAAATCAGACGATTACATATTAACAAGGATTCTGTGATGGATTAGATGCATCTATATCAAATAATGTCTTATATATGCGCTCAGTACTTTTTTCAGATGAGCGACAAATATTCATATAAATTACGCATGTTTGAATATATGTAAAAAACGTGCCCTAACAACGCTGTTTTCTTACCTCCAAGACTTCCTGACGTAGGGGCCAATGATGATATACCTGCTGTGTAAGTAAACTGAACGCTACCTTCAGCGTTACCTTTACCATCAACTGTCACGACTACAGAATGTGGTCCCACTGGCCCGTTACCAACATCGCACGTAATACTAGTCGCAGTTGAACCAGTTACTGAACATTCAACTCCTCCTATTATCACCTTGTTATTGGTCCGGACAGTACTGAATCCTGTCCCAGTAATAACAGCAGACGTAGATAGTGATGATGTTCCTGAAACGTGAATTTTCAATGAAGAACATCTTATGGATATTATACCATGTATGTATATTGTATTAACTCCTAGATACCTAATATTTCTACTTCTTGATATCTCACCATGTTCTGAAAATATTTCTGTACTTTAATTACAAAATGATTCCTATAGCCTATTTAGCAAAAGAATTGAATGCATTAACCAATTTTGTCTGGTTGTTGTCCAATCAGCCCTTTGCAAACAAATGTTTATAATGATTGTTAAAGATAAAGTTTAAAAAAGAAACTGCACCTGTTTGTGGGTTGATACCGGAAATAGTTGGCGTGGAGGATGAATCCCAGTTGAATGAGCAGTCATCAGTACAAGCCGTGGGTATATCGTTGATGTAAAGTCTAACCTGAGGCGAGCTGTGCACCGTCGATACCATATCGCCTGTAAGTGGATCATAAAACAAGCCTCCGTCTACATTTGTTTCAATACTTCCTTGGGCCTCTATTCCTTGAAGACGGTCGTACGAAACCTACAATAAAATTAAGACAATCCATTCTAGTGCTCATCATAAATGTCTATATATTTTATAACATCACACGTAGTTGAGTTTTAATTTCAGTATAAAAAACATATAACCAGCAATATCATTACATGTTCTAAAAAATAAAAAAGGATCTTAAATGTGTTATCATTGTATATAGACTAAATAGACTGAGTTTAAGACAAAGTTATAAAAGTTCGCATTTGGTTAGGTTCTTTATATTACATGATGTAATAAAGTCAGAAAACGACAGAAAAATGGAACATTTCTGTTTGACAGACCATTTACGCTAAGCAAACGTGCCCTAAAGTAAGTGTAAAACAATATTATGCATAATGATATTTGTACACTAAAATTAATAAAGCCATGTGATAAAAATGAACTGATTGTCGAGTTTGTTATACAAAATGAAGACAAGTTAAAGCATATCATACAGACTATCCACTCTGACAAATCGGTGTTGCAATGAAAAAGAATGTGTCAACAGTTTATAATGATAAAATAATGATCAGGTTAACTCTCAATCATTACCGTCATCTGTGGAAGATCTCCCGGTAGTGAAATGAATGTTGTAATCATATCGAAGTTTGCACAATCGCCATCCTTTATCACATTAAGAGACCCTATGTCTTGAATTGACTCCAGTTCCCTTTCAAATTCAGCCGCTTCAAGTGATACATTTATATCTGAAATTGAACAAGTTCCAATTGACAATTTTTTATAATCCTCAGATGATTTGATTTGTTTAAAAAGTGTTTTAAAGTTCAAAAAAGTTTTCTGTGCTTCCGATTTAGATGATATTCCAGTTAACTATTGACTCAAATTGTTGAAGAATTTTACATCTACAGAACTAATTTTTTTTTCGTGTACATATGTTACAAGTATTTAATCAATCAAAATAATTATAATAATTATATATATCGTACTGATTATTGTATTTATGCTGAGCTTGGTGCAAAATGGTTACACAGTATAGTTACATATTTCATTCTATATTTTATGAAATATATTAATATTTTTACTGTTTTTCACTAAGACGGCATTAATACAACATCAAAATATGAACTCTGCACATATTCTCTATAATAAATTCCATACATCTTAACAGAATTGTTTCAATAAAAAGATGGAAAAAAAGACATACCATTCCGCCCATGTCCATCAAAAGATACGTCAACAAATCCAGTCACCGGTGGTGATGCCTGTGAAGTCCGGGTCACCGTGACAACCCCTGATCCTCTACCATTATCTAATGCCAAGGTCGCAGTTGTACCAGAACTACTTGTCACACCAGAAGTAACCTGTGCAGTAATATTAGTACTACTTTTAGGACTACTTGTTGATGTGTCAGTAGAATTGACAGTTGATGGGGTAGATGATTCAGTGATATTTGATGGTGATGAAGTGGATGATCCAATGAAGTTTAATGGCTGATATGAAAAACATGCGATTACGATTACTAAATGACATAATGAGATGAAAATACCAGTGTATAAAATAATAAACGGTTCAGGAATGATAAAAAAATAATAAAATGCAATATGTAATATTAGTAATGCCGTTCTTATGCTAATGTAAAAGGACTTTGTGACATGAACATGATGAAGGGACTACTTATTTTTCGAGAATTATGTATCATATGAAGTAGGTCTAGACTAATAACGTGTGTGCAAATTGTTGGATCATTCCCTGACTCCGTTATCCAACAATAATTTAATTTCATTGTGCCGATTGACCAAAAAAAAGAGAAGAGTTGCCGCGCTTTTCACTCAAAACGGGCGAAAAATCGTGCAATATCATTTTCAATTAGCTCTTGAGTATATTTCTTCATTATCTTTCGCAGTCAAGTGCATAACTTAATATTATAATGCAAGAATTTCAAACTTTTTTAAACGTCAGTGTAGCTCCTTTAATTCAAAGTATGGTATGACTGTATATGTAAGGTTTATAATAGTTAAAAGTTAGTAATTGAAACAATAAATACATGTAAACAAAGCAATATGATGTACTTACTTGATGTACTTATAAAGAAAATATATACGAGTATTTTACATATTACTTATTTAGACAAATTGTACTTTTAAGTTATTAGATAATAAAGCAAAATGCATGACTAAGAAATAAAATCTAAATTATGAAATTAATAAGAAAATCAAGACAAAATGTACCGGGATGTTATAAATTCAAGAACATGGTTTAAAACCTTTTTACAGTCTGTGTATAAATGACAATTGTTTTTAATGCAGTGTTAATAATGAAGATATAGAAGACCCTCTTCAAATATATCTTTCTCAATTAACTTAAATAGCAGATGTTGTTTGATTTTACATTAAGTACAGGATGACAACTGTCTTTAACGATTAAAACTATATCATATATATCATTGAATTTTCAATTACAAAAATAACAAATTGTTGCGTATGCAAATATGTTTATACACAGCAGCCGCAACAATGGAATGACAAAAAATAATTTAACCAAACAATTATATAACTTTATAACTAAATATAAACCAACTTGGCAAGTCAGTTAGGTTTTATTTTTTAAAGCATTGTTCTTATGTTGTTTTATTGACAATAATAATGTTTCACACTTACTCCTCCATTTGCAAGTTCAAAGAGCGGGAAGTTGAAGGCACAATCAATTGGTACAATCGTTACTTTATATGTGTCAGCAGACACTGTGTCAACTGATACTCTGTCAACAAAATTGTTCCTGTCTACCACTTTGTTCCTTGGCAACGCTGGTTTCAATCTTCGTAAATGAACCTCTAAAATATAAAGCAAATCAAAACATTTAATAATGATATTGTGACATTTATAAGTGTTTTGTATAGATATATGTATTAACATTTGCAAGAGATAACTAAAAACTTTACATACATGTACATGTTGTTATTTATAGAAAAGTGTTTACAAATGTCTGTAAAACACATATAAGCATTTTTCAAAATATAACTTTTAAACATATGCTATTCATTGGTTAAATCTTTAAAAGACATGTAATCGCTGCTGATACGTGTACGACAACATAAAATCATTTTCTATTGAATCATTTTGATCCATTTTGGGAGCCAAAAAGACTGAATTTCTCTGACAATGTCAAACTTTTTGCGGGCTTTTTCATGATAAATCCCAAAACATACAACATCATATCCAGTATAAGTAAAATAATTTGGTCTAGTTTACCTGGATCATCAGTTGTTGTGTCACGTCCAATGAAAAGAGAGTCAACATAAGCATCCACACCGCTATTAGCTCGGTACACCCATGCCTCCAAAAGACGATGTTCAGTGTCACTTGGCCTTTCGTCATAAACTTTGTCATAAACGTCAACGCAAGTATAGTACCACCTATTTGATCTATAGTATAGAAAAGAAAAAAATCTTCCTTTGTTAATGCAGAAAGGTGATATTTGTTCCTAAAAAATTCAAACTGCTTTCGGTTAATGTTATAATTATATTCTTTTATTTCATGCTTTCCAGTGTTTTATTGTAATATATCAGATGATTATATTCTGATAAACCACTAGTGAAATTTATAAAATATAATTTTCACTGTAGCCGGACTATATCTGGATGCGGATGAAAAGAAAATCATAACGAAATGGAATAACAGGCAGAAATAAATGCTGCCATGCGTAAATTTTGCTTCTTTAGGAAAAGAAAGTCGATGTCACCATACATCATGTTAAAATGTTACACAATTAGACAAAATTTATCAGAACTATATTTCAAAATTAATGATGTGACGTCATGATGTGATGACGTCACAAAGGAGAATGCGCGACGTTACGCGGCAAAATCAGTAAAAAAATACTTAAAATCACTTAAAAAGCATGAAATAAAAAGAAAATTTATTTGTTTTACATATAAGATTGAAATATATTTCATTCGTGAACACCAGCTATTATATTTTCACTCGTGGCTACGCCACTCGTGAAAATATTGCATCTGGTGTTCACTCAGTGAAATTATATTTCAATCTTACATGCAAAACAAACAAATATCCTCTATGTCTTATTCAATATTATCTTTATTCAATTAAATTTTAATTTACAGTGTACTGTATATTTTATCTGAAGAACCTTACATGTTTCTTGAAAAAAATAACAAAACATACATGTAGAGATAACTGCGTCTTTTGAAGAAGAAAGAAAAATAACAAAATATATAAAAAGTAATGTTGCATATCAAACTGCAAATGATGTGTTTTTGATGTTATTGTCACCTTCAAAATTAGCCATTGTTTCCAGCTTATACTTCACAAGATTATATGCATGTTTAAAAAAATGACATACACTGTTGCTGAATCTGTCTGGAATTCGTACGCGAACTGCAACCTTTTATCTTTGACTTCTTGGTCAGAACTATCTCTGTAGGAATATTTAACACCGATGATGTTCGCCAAAAACCCTTTGTACGCAAAGCAGACCTGAAAACAAGGTTTGATCATTGTTTTATTCGCTGCTGACCTGCTTTTATTATTTGTATATGTGCCTTACTTCAAATAACATTTCTTTTGGAGGTTAAGGTAAAGAAGAAAACAAAAATGTTAGTTGTAAACTAATGCTTACTTATGAATGCCATGTTGTTTTTTTTTTTGTTGTTGTTTTTTGTGTGTGTGTGTGTTTTTTGACAGCATGGATATGCATGTTAATTTGCGATCTTATCTAAGATAGAAGCACATTGAATTAAAATTCAAGATTCAATATAATCCTGTTTATACATTGCTTCTACACAATATATGTCACCGGTACTGGATATATCCAGAAAAAGATGATGGGAATGGTTCAAACTAACTACAGGTTTTCTTAACAATCTAGCTAAAATAAATCTTTTTCATATAAATAAATAAAGAAAGAAAAAAAGAAGATATTTTTACCGTTCCAAACATTGACAGCATTATTCCAACATCTTCATCGGATGGCTGCCTGTAAATACGAAACGGGTTTTTGAGAACATATCGCCCACAGAATGGCTCAGTGTCCATAACTCTTGTACCCCAGAATTCTGCACTCCCACTTTCAAAATTTTGATAATATGCCGCCTTACTTGGACTGCTGAACACGGTTGGACATTTGGCTGAAAACATTCCCTCGACTGCGCTTTTAAGCTGCAAAGATTAAGACAATGATGTCAGTAATTGAATTAAGGGTGAGTTATTATTGAATTATTGGTGATAAAAGTTATGTTTTATAATTATGGTTATGTTGATAGTTATGACGTCGACAATGATTATGATGACTAAGGCGCACATAATAATGAAAATGATAGTTATGATGAAGGCGATGATGATGATGATTATGGTGGTAGTGGTGGTGCTGATGATGATGATGACGATGATGACGATGACGATGACGATGATAATGACACAGAAAATTATCATTTGTAAAATGATTATGATAGAATTTAAAGCATTGTTGTTTTCTTACCGTTCCAGCATCTAGTGAATCTACAGAGAACGGTTCCGAAACAATGTCGTCAAATGATAGGGCGACCATGTCTAAATCTGGTTTTCCTTTGGTCTGCTCTGTCACAGAAGATACTACCCCAGAGCTGTTGGCTACTCGCCTCACGTCAACCTTTGGAAAGTCACCTATAGAATAAAATAACAATTTGTTAATATATCAAGATATTTATGACGTCCAATCTGATTAAAGCTCAGCTCAGCTCCTTTAAATAATGGAATGACGCATAAAACATAAGGATATAAGTATTAATGTACGCTTGTTTGATTTTGGCGTCAAAAACGAATAATGTGATGCTAATGATTTTATCCTCAACATAGCATCAAGTTTATGAGTATGGTTCAAGTAGGAAGTTAGTGAGGCTAAAATAGATGTTCTAAATTTAAATTAAAAAAAGGAGAATAAATATCACCATCATATTTGTGTACTGTTAGACATCAGGTAAAGCAAACTAAAACTGGATAAACTTCAACTAAAGATGATTGTTAAAAGATAAATCAAAGATAATTTTATGTTATTTTTACCAAATTATTTTGAAATTAATCATAGGCTATAACTCATATCTATATTGTAGTAATAATTCAATACATACAATTATTATATTTGGATTGATCTAATCTATGCAAATATATTAAATATACTTTTACACGGTCTTAATGCTAGTAATAAAACATTTCTCCACATATACTTTTATGATATAGACGAATGAAACGTGTATGTATGTAAGAGAAAAAATATCTTTATAAGAGAAAAAATCCATGCTACTGTATCAATTACTAAACATAATTCATTGTGTTATGAAATGGGTATACCTCTCTTTGACTGAATTGTTAGTTGATACGAGGGTGGGTCTGATGGATTCCTTGCTACAAGAATGGACTCGTCCGCTCCCCATATTGGTAAAGATCCAAGAGCTGTTTGTATCATGGAGTCTTCCATTGTTGTCATCAATGGTTCTATAAATAGAATATTAACAATTCGTCAAAATATTTTAAAGTCAAAATGGGTTTGTTGACACAAGGATTAATTGATTAATTCAAAAAAGATTTTCGAAACAATGGACTATATTGGCAGTTATCATAGAAAATATTTCTGTTTTAACTAAAACAACAGTAGATTCGGTTCTTTTTTCCTATGTTATAAAACCATTACGTTTTTATTTATACAAATATTACACATGGGTAATATTTATAAATGAAAACAGAACAGTAAACGGATTGATTGGTTAAATTAAGTTATTGGATAGAGAGAGACCAGGGGCTCGCTTAATATTTGTTTCATATCATTCTAGACCAAATGAAAACACCTGACCAATCCGATAATTCCTGAAAATCTCTTATTACCAGTGAATACTCCAAATAATCCTAGTCTGAAAGTATCTCCTTGTGTTATTTCAACTTTCTGAACTTCTTGGGTGTGGGTTTGACCAGTGAACCGTGAAAATGCCAGTTGCTGAAAGTAAAAAAAAAACATTAGAAAATTAACTTTCGATAACTTCTTTGTTGTTAAAGGAGCCTTCGGTAAGAAATGATCTACACGTTATTTACGTGTTCTGAACGAAGGAAAGGAATAGTTTATTAGTATGTTTATTTCTCATTAAGCCTTCAATTATTTTTTTTGCGAACAAGGCTAGGTCGAGCGTCTTTAAATATTTTTGAATAAAGACTACAATAGATTAAACAGGAAAAAACAGTATTATTTTCATAAATAAGTAATATTTTATATCTTGTCTGTCAAGGGTCTTTGGCTATTTCTTTACTCCACGGATTTATATTACATAACATAAATCCGTGCTTATACATGTATAATGTAAAAAAGGTTAAATGTTGTCTATTCTTCAATCTGCTTTTAAAGGTAAAAAGTCTGTAGATCAGAATAACTTTTATAAGGGGTTATAAAATCTCCAAATACTTTGAGCGTTGTCACTAAAAAGTACATATTTAATTAGCTATACATGATATCTACACACACGTGGCAATTATTTATATTCAAAACCACACAAAACAAAATTATTACACAAAATTATTTAAGTCGGTCTTTTGAAATTGATTACCTGTTCATCAAATTTAACAGTTGAAGTTATCTTGATAGTTTGAGTTTCTTGCTTGGCCTTTGCCGTCCAGGAACTTGTGAATTCAGTGTCGAAGAACTTGGCCCTCAAGTGTATAAATGAATTACCGCTGTTTTCATAGTGAGTAACCTCCAGTAAATATCTATTGACAATAAAATAAAAGTGAAATACATTTCTTTAAAAAAGATTTTCGAAACCGGTTGAGAGAAAGTTCAACATACTAAACCAACTCTAAGGGCACAGGGGTCATGTTTTGTGGTGCGTTATCTCCTAACAAAAGTTTGTTACACTATTTATTATTTCTTATAAGAAAAATCTTCATCATCTATCATGTAATGGCAATGGTGCACGGTCTTACATGAAAAAAAAGTTTGTCTCACGATTCATTTAATTCTTATGTTATTCATTTGTCACCTTAAAGGAGAAAAAAATTATTAGTCTAAATAGAACATTTTCCACTAGTAGCATTGCTTTTACTAATGCAATACCTTTTTCTAAACTTATTATAAACATATATTTTATAAATTGTACGTTTTGTATCTGACATTATGCCATGTGGTCATGTATTTCTTTTGCTTTTTTTTAATCATAGAGCTTCCCTATTTTTTATGTTCCTTAGAAATAATTGCCAGAATGTTTCCCAAAATCAGTTTACTGTACCATTGAAGATGTCATGTTTAAAGAATTAAGTCAAATACCTTCTGTTTTCATTAAGCGTCATTCGAGCAGACGACTTCCAGGAACGTGTAGATGTAACAGCTTCGTTCTACAGGCATAAAAGTTGTGCAATGTAAGAATTATTCTTTCAAAATATTAACAAACAACTGAGTAAAGACGCTCTGAATGTAATAAAACAAGAGATTTGAATTTCTAACATGTCTTATTACTTTTTCATTTGGGTTTTTAGTCAAACCGCCATTTGACAAATTTACCTCTTTACTGGTAGAGGAAACCCTTAAGTGCCACTGAGCAGGACCCCAAACTTTTTGTCAGCCACATGGTGTTTGAGAGCTTCCGCACAGGCAATAATTATAATTCATAGCCACTTGGAAGATTCGAACTCACCGCGATAAGGCGCCAAGGATTCAATGTCAGCGAGACAGTGACCTTAACAACGTATTAGACATACAAAAGACGAGACGTGAATTAACCAATCAAATTGTATCGTGATCATATATGATAGCCCATCTGGCAAATAATTAAGTCGGTCATAATGAAATCATAGCTTTTTATACCCCATCAACATATAGCCTAGCTCCATCGTCTGCAAGAAGTTGGAATTCGTATTCTCCACTGTGAGGTGGTCGAAAGTATGACGTCATTCTGCTTGCGTACGTGTCCATTTCATTGTTGTCATAGAAATACGTGTCATCGAGCGTTGTTGAATTGTAGCCGGGATCGGAGCTACTGAGTGACAAAATACTGTCCAGATCATTTTTTCCTTTCGATGTTGATGTCCAGTACTCGAAATTGACACCCCTGTTGCCTTCAAATTTAGAGGCTGTATACTGTGGGTCTGCAGCCACGATACATTCTACATATTCGTCAGTGACGACGTTTTTGACGTCACAAACAGTGTCTGAAACAATACGTTGCCTACATGTTTAAAATCTAAAATCGCAAAAAAACAACACTTATCAACAAAACATTATTAAATTCAACTTGCAGACAGTAAGATCTGATATTTCTAAATATAACTGTTTTCTTAATAAATATAGTTCTAAATAGATCTATAATTGTTTTCTGAAAGAATATTTTTCTCGGGGTGGACGATGTCATTAGACCTGGCAGATCTAATTAAACTCTGTATTAATATCTATGTTCCACGATCTCTCTGTAACTATACATCAGTATCGTAATAATGTAACAGTTGATTGTCATGATTAACCTTAATGGCTTGCCCATAATGCCTCAATCAAATTTTCTACACGTAAAAACTTTATGTACAAAAAAGTGAAACTGAAAAACCTTTCTCTGAACTCTCGGAAGCAAACAATTGAAACAAATTTAAAATATGACATCAGGTATTAGTCAGCCGAAGGAAAATTTCTTTAAACTTTGGTTTTAGTTCATAAGTAGTATAAAAAGATGGGATTTTACCTCCTACATAAGCTCTGGCTTTAGAATATGGCGCTTTCTCGTCAAAATAACTTCCATAAATAGTTAGCCTCAGACCTCCAGCCTCGCTTCCAACTGAATGGCTGATATTGGTAATGTCTGAAGGACAAAACGACATGAAAAATGAACAAAAAATATTAAATGCAGAGCTATATCCTTTATTTTAGAAGTCCACTGAATTGCGAAATGGAAACTACAATAACGGGTCATTTTTTACTTTAAGCCTTAATTTTATACATTTTATACATATATTTTTTTAATTTTAAACTCTTATATAGTTATATGTTGTTGTTATTATTATACTAGTTTTAATATACGATGTGTTTCGGTTTGTTTCATGAAAGTGACATGAATTTGAAGCCAACGAACATTTCTCTACTCGTATAGTATAAAGTTTTTCATGTAACGGTGCGAATGTGCAAGATGGAACAAATTAGCCACCATACTTATTATATCATATAATAATACCTGTATATGTTTGATACAAATAAATCTCATCATTGTAAGATACACGATACAATTCACCGTCGGCAACTGACCTGAAATCGTCAAAAGTAATAGATTAATTTAGAAATACAGTAAAACATGTTGAAAGAGGCCACTGACTGTTGTTTAAACGCCAATTGCATAGTCATGTTCTACATTGGACATACATTTTGTATTCAAAATATCTATACAATATCTAAGTTAATTGACAAGTTAACAATGCTTACAATCTCCTGTTTAATGAAAATACCTTTCTCTAATAAAAAGACAATGAATTTGAAAATTTGAAAAAAATCAGGTGTTGTAAAAAGGATAAAACTTCGTGAAATCGGAATTTATTTTTTATTAAGTTTTATTTAATTAATTCATTTATTTTTTATTGCAAATATTAATGAAAGCAAGCGAACATACCTTCCGAAAGGTGACTCAACAATATAAGTTGCGTTGTAAAATCCTGAAGAGAAATTATATGAAGATTATAAATAATTTCTTCATATACATATCTGTATATCAGCATTTCAAATCTATTCCTCGTATTAAGATTTCTCAATTAATCATTCTTAACAGAACTGATGACAATGAACTATTCACAGATAAAAAATGATATCTGTAAAAACACGGTCTTTCAAATAGAATCTATGTGAAAGACCCTGGTAAAAATAAGGTCTTGTAAATTTTCAAAAACTGAAAAATATGAAATTATATTCAAGAAATATATTACTTATTCTTATTTCATGCTTTCCAGTGTTTTATTGTAATATATCAGATGATTATATTCTGATAAACCACTAGGGAAATTTATAAAAAATAATTTTCACTGTAGCCGAACTATATCTGAATGCGGATGAAAAAAAATCACTAAATGAATTAACAGGCAGAAATAAATGCCGTCATGCGTAAATTTTGCTTCTTTAGGAAAAGAAAGTCGATGTCACCATACATCATGTTAAAAATGTAACAAAGTTAGAGAAATTTAACAGAACTATATTTCAAAATTGATGATGTGACGTCATGATGTGATGACGTCAAACAGGAGAATGCGCGACGTTACGCGGCAAAATCAGTAAAAAAAATTCTTAAAATCACTAAAAAAGCATAAAATAAAAAGAAAATTTATTTGTTTTACATATAAGATTGAAATATATTTCATTCGTGAACATCAGCTATTATATTTTCACTCGTGGCTACGCCACTCGTGAAAATATTGCATCTGGTGTTCACTCAGTGAAATTATATTTCAATCTTACAAGCAAAACAAACAAATATCCTCTATATAATTAACTTAAAACAGATATACAGATATCTGCCCTATCAGTTTTATATAAAACGCAATTATTTTTTTTCTGACGACATTTAATGCAAATTAATCAAACTTACCAACGGATGAACCTTTAGCTTTACAGTTCAGATTTCCATTGTCATTATCCTCTTCTACTTGCAAACCATAGCTGAAAAGTTCGTGTGCCATAAGATAAAAAAGTGAGATAAAATAAAATTAAAAGAGAAATATAAAAGTCAATGTTAAGCTAAAAAAATGTTGTAAGTGAATTCAATGCATTAAAATACATTTTAACTTTTGTTACTTTTCAATTTAACATGCCTTAAAATGATAAATTGGTTTTTTTAAAGAACACACTTTATTTCATTATAATCATTATTGCTATTTTATTTCTAATCATCATTTTATTTATTTTTATAATTCTATTCACATTTGATAATCACTTTTTATATTGTTTTCACTTTATTCACTTACAAGTCATCATTGTCCTTTAGGTCACAGTCTTGTGGTCCAACATATACCCTGTAAAAAGTAAAATTCAAAATACAAAATAATGCAATAAGAATTAAATAGAAAATCGTGATTTGTGCGATTCTTAGCACTCTTTACTGAAATCGTGGTAAGAATCGCACAAATCACGCTTTCAGTGAAGAGTTGTAACTCTTTACATTTTAGGTCATTCTGCACAATACAAAATGATTTCGTGGAAAAACGAGTAGAAGGAATGATCTGGCAATTTTCATACAAGTTATTTGTCCAAACCTACAACAAATGGTACACAAATACCAGAAATATATCTCTAGCCCCGTCATGTTAGAAAAACCCAGTGACGTCCCTTTAAGATATGCGTGACATAAACATAATAACATTCAAATTTTAAAGAATCAATTAATATCATGTATAAACAATAGATCAACAATGCCACATAATTTTATCAAAACTCTGCGTTCTATTAAAGAAGTATTTACCTAAGTAGCTTTTCTGTCCGCCCATTAGTAGCAGAAGCAAGGTTGCTGCCGTAGCGGTCAGTGAATAATTTTCCTCTCATTTCAATCATCCCACCTAGAAATAGTAACATTTAAATACACATATCATTTCAGTCAGAACTAAAAATAGTAACATTTCAACACATCCAACCTTAATAATGTACCATATCAACGTATATCAATTCAATCATACATCCTAAAAATAGTAACATTTCAACATATTACACCTAAATATAGTTTCATTTCAATATGTTACACCTAAAATAGTAACATTTCAAGATATTACACCTAAAAATAGTATCATAGTACACCTAAAATAGTAACATTTCAACATATTATACTTAAAAATAGTAACATAATACACCTAAAAATAGTAACATTTAAACGTACCTGGTCTTCCAGATTGGGCAGAAAGTGAGGTAACAGTTGGAGTATATCGTTGACTAGGCTGGAATTAAATATAGAATTTATGTTGAAATTGTTATGTTTTTCCAAAATCGATACTTCTACAAAGTAGTCACATATTAATAGATGAGACGAATCAGAAAAGTCGTGTCTATTGACATTGAAAAGTCAAGAGTGATACTATATATTTCGACAAGAATCGATTTGTTAATTTGATCCTTTTAATGTTCTTTCAAGTCGGAACTGAACAGTGCAGAATATATGCTATCTTTACCGTGAATATCAAATAAATGGGTAGAGCTACCCAATTGTCGTGAGTTTACTCAATGGTTTATCAGTGTTTTTTAAAGATCGTAAAAGTATTTACCACAAACAGGAACTGTCAACGTGTGTGATGAATTGAATACATGTTTATAGTTTTACAAAATATCACAGTACAATATATACCTTATAAGTGCAGCTTGACCCTGTCGGGTTTCCGTTACACAGATTACTGTCTTGGACTCGAGCCCCGTCAACAACAACTTTGACATAATGATTCTCCTCCTGCATGCCACTGAAACATTAAATGTAGGTTTTATACAACTGTAAATCTGTATCAGTTTTTGTTCTAATGTCCTATTGACGATAAATTTACTATGATGCTATTTAAAGAAAAAAAAATAGCATTCAAATCATAGTGCATGCAATTAGCTGTTTGTTATATAGTTATGATCGCTATATATTGAATATTAAATTTCTTTTATTGGTTATGACAGACCTCGGATAAAGCGTAAACAATATATATGTCCTGACGGGTTCACTTTAACAGAGTTTCACTGTATGCGCCTACAATTATTTGCTCATCCAATTTTGCGGAAAAATGATATGAAAATACTAGAACATTGGAAAACGTGCTCGTACAGTTCTGATTTTGAGAAAAACAATTTTACTTACTTTGGAGTATAACACATGATTTGTGTTTCCGTTGTCCCATCATTATGTACCGGGCAACTGTATTCACTGCCCGACTCACTAATGAGGTAAACCATGTTCCCAGTGTCCGGATCCTCATTTTGACTGAACTGGTCTGCCGAAAATCCTGCCGGAAGAAAAAATCAATGGTTTCATTAGATTTGTGTAAATGTTAAAGATCCAACATTAATTAATATAAACATCATAGTTTACATACGTTCTAGCCCCGAAGGAGTAGTCTTGACAAGCACGTAGAGGACAAATGAAAGAAAAAAATAAAGAAGTCTTTAATTAGTTTTTAGCTACATAAGATGTGCATGAACAAAGCTCAATATTAAAATATGTATTGATATAAATAGGAATATATAATAGATGTATATATAATCAAAGTACTAAAGTACTGGTCAAGGGCACGAGCAGGGGCAATTGTATTCCCTTGCGTGTTTAAGCACTTATTACATTACTTATTATTACATTACAACGTTATTCTTAGCAGACGAAATTCCATATGATTGTTACACGCACATGAATGGTGTTGTCACTTTATTTTGCGCTAACAGTTACTAAGTATTCGATTAAAGAATGTTTTTGTTTTCTCAGCCTTAATGAATCGAATCACAACCTACCCGATCCCGATATAGTTAGTCTCGTTTCTCCGCCCATACTTCCATAACGAGGCTGTACCTCAGAAACGCTTGCACCTAAAAATATGAAAATAAATATGTCAAAACAAAAATATGGAAAACAAAAAAATATTAACACGAAGTAACCCCAAAACGTAATATCCATATAGTTGCAAATAGCATTCATTCGATCACTTCGTAACATTGATTGGCTGTTTTAATTACGTTAAATTATCTTGCACAATACATGCATGTTACATTTTTCTTAAAAAGTTCAAGTACCACCTAACTTTAAACGCGCGTTAGTTATATATACTTAACATATAAGAGGGTGAGCAAGCAAACTGACATGATATTATTCCCACCATAAAAAGCTAAAGTTTATTGGCCCACTATGTGAGTTCTGTAATTCTAAAAGTATCATACAAGACTACAGATCACGTAAGAATCATAACTGGTTGTTGGTAGGTGTTAAATATATGATTCTATATACGACATATTCTTAAAATAGCAGGTACTAAAATACTCTAGAAGAAAAAATAAATATTATTCAGCACACAAATGTTCAAACTAAATCACTTAACACTCTATATATTGTCCCGGTTCAAAAGTATTCTCTATTTAGGAGGGAAAATGTGAAAGCGGCCTAACAGTTCAATCGGTAAAGGCATAAAACGATATTCCAAAGGTCCTGGTTTAAAGTCCCGGTCAGGCCGCACATTTTTCTCAACCTTTAACATTTGGCGCCCATTCTATGTTCATTTTTTATAAGAATAACCAAATGATATATTTCTATTTCTTTAAATTTATTGTATTTGAAATACTTTTGAAATTATGCCCATTGTAGGCCAATGCACTTTAATTGAACACTGTAATAGAACAATACTTTATGTAAGTTTTTCACCATGCAACTGTCCAGAGCACCAATCGATTCTTGATGTACTAGCAAGGTAAGGTCATTAGTGCGCTATGTTCGAAACTTAACAATGTACCATGTACTATTAAAGTACACGATAACGTCTTTATTGTCCTAAATTGCCAGCACAGAGGCAAATTTAAGGAGAAAATTGAACAAAAATGTGTTTATTTATAAACTTATCATAATCTTGTCTACCACACGAACCATTTGCTCTCTTTATTTGCAAGTTGAAGTTCAAAGAAATTATGTACGTACTTTTATGAAATAACACATTTTCATTATTTGCTTCCTCCATTTGAACGTTATTGTGGCTTAAGTTCAAAGGAACCAAAATAATGAACTTTTATCAAATAATACACCTCTGAGCGATAATGATATTTTTTCACCACATATTTAAGTTTATTTTTAACATCTGGTAATGGCATAATATACCCATGCGACCAGTGCAGACCGGGATGAGCGTCTGCTCATGGTCTGCAATGTTTCCTATTTAGTAAGTAGATTATTCATTTGTTTAAAACTTCCCTAAAGGTCAGATTACCGCATTGTAACACGGCCAGCACTTGCTGAAAAAAGTGCAAGGAAAACCATAAGATTCAATGGGACATCAAGTGATTGGATGAAAATGTGATGTTTTCAAATATGAAAATTATTTAAGAAACTAACACGACATTGGTATCTTAAGAAAACAAACTAGTTCGTAAGTCTCTATGATAACTTTTTACTTGGATATTTGCATTTTAAAAAAGTATGTGTCAGTCCTGTGATCAGCAAAAAAATTCTATGAAAAGGGAGGTAATTCTCTATGATGACGATATGCGAAAAATATGGTTAGTTAACCCCATATAACATTTTTATGTGTCATGCATATAACTTTTCTATGAGTATATGAATATTCAATTTTAAGATATCTTTATGGGCCATTTCTTATAATGTAGCCTATGCGAAAATCAATACAGTAATATGACCTAAAATTGATTAATGGTGTTGCCCTGATTGAGAAGACCTATAAGTCTTTAGCCGGTTTACGGTTAAAAGTACATGTACTCCTATTTTCAAATCGCGTCATCGATTAGTCAACGCTTTTCTACGAAAGCCTCGAACAAAAGTTTTGTTTTCTCAGCAATTTGAAATTTGGTTTTGACCTTATAAACTTTTCTCGCAAATCACTTGGCCGGATAAACTGTAATTGAAAGATAAATATGATCTTATCAACTTATTATCAATTTTTGAATTAGATACATACATTCGAGAAAAAAGTTTACGTAAATCATTATACAATGAATTTATATAAATAGAGGAATAGAATGACAATATGACAATATTTGTTTTCAATATTGAATCGGAAAGGTAAATTATTTTCAAAAGCGAGCGAACTCGATATCTCTTTATATAATCGGGTATCAAATCATAAAAGGTTTAAATTTTCTAAATTTATGTAATGTTGAAAACAGGACGTAAGATAAGATCCTGGACATTTGTTAGTTTATATCTTTATTTCTAATCATCCGAAAAAACAACATTTTATTGACGCGACGCGGATAAAATTGGATTTTTTGTTAACCTGTTTTATTTATTCAACAGGCATTTTGATTTTATTGTATTTTGATTATTTTCTTTTATAAGTAAAAGCGTTACAGTCAATAGGCGGCTGATTTTATAGATTTCAATTTTCATTGGTAATTACTTTTGACGTAAACAGAAAGCTTGGCATTAAAATTGGACACGGGTGTAGTCGGTGAACAGGTGTACTTTTAACGATAGTAAAAAAAAATGTTTCAAAAACGTTCGTCCCTCTCCGTCAAACTTCGGTGGTAGTCGCGAGCAGTCGTAAAATATCGGCCCTTCCCGTATACTGTTGCAGAGGAAATCGGAAAGGTGTTACGAATTATTCACTTGCTTCTGTGCCCATACAAGTACATTTTGGCGCCCGTCTTACATCTGGATACATCAATTTACATTATTTCTACCGTTAACTACAGTAATAAGTTTACTGGCTCGGAGTTTAACGCAACAAAATACAAAAATTAGATAAAATGTTTATAAAAAGCTTTAGGATAGTAACTTATGAATATAAACGTTAAAAGGTGTAACAGGTTTGGTTGTCTGTCTGTCTGTCTGTCTGTCTGTCTGTCTGTCTGTCTGTCTGTCTGTCTGTCTGTCTGTCTGTCTGTCTGTCTGTCTGTCTGTAATATTATTCATACGCAAAGCGAAGGAAAACGGCAAACTCACAGTTTTACGTACATTGTATATCATTAGTTATAAAGATTTTTTTCGACAGGTTATATGGCACTATATAAACGGATGTTTGTAATATAAACCGAGCCATTAAGATTATTTTGCAAACAACCGTTTAAATACGGTCATATAACATGTCAGAAATATTTATAACTAATTTATAATACAGCAATTAGCATCATGAATAAAGCGATATTTCTTTATAAATCGACAGCAGACGTGTATATAAAACTATATAAACGTCACGATTACCCAATGAAAAACGACATTACAAACGTTCAGTATTATAAACATGTATGTTTCGTTTGCACTGCTACTAGTATATTTTGTTCACAGTTTCTATGTGTGTATGTGATATCTATGATAAGGTGACTTACATATATCTATATAGGGCCAATGGGCTGGGTGTTTTTGTTATGTATTTTTACAATGTATTATGTATTTGATATATACATAATTAACTTTCTGACTTAACATATTTTATAATATTTTAATATCATAATAAGTGATGAAACGTGATGAAAATAAAAACAGTTTCCATCTAAACATTAAGGGGCCATTTCAAGAGTAATGGACTTGATCTAGTGTGCAAACATAAAAAGGGTTTCCAATTGCATAAATTCACAATTTCATCCTGAAACGACGGATCATTAAAAGTTAAAACGTTAACTTTATATGATGTATATGTAGTATTCAAAAATACAACTTTGTTTAATCAAAATCGCTTTTCAGTTGCAACATTTCGACTATTTTCACTAATTTTCGGTTATCGACGAGGAATTCCGAATAATGCCTGCGCGTGAACTCAATAAACTTGTCAAAACATATCATTTAAAAATTAGGAACGGATTTTGGTAAATATTTAAGCTGATAAACAAACAAAATAACAAAACGATTGTTTACTCCCTGTGGTATTGCATTTCTTATTGTATTATAAATTTAAGAAACAAAAAACGTTTCATATGTTATCAAAATACGGTGGTTGATTGCCCCAACAATACAAATCGTGTGAAAAAGGCCAGTTAAGCTGCATTTTAGCTGCGTATGTTTTTCTTTACCTTACATTGCTTTGGCATAATTTCTTATACAATTATGTTTATACCGTCTTAATTTATAGGTTAGAATAAAAATACCAATAAGTCGCGCTTTATATATGCAGTCAATATAATACTCAACGTGGATTTTTTTTTTGCGCAAAACAAACGTCTATTTCATCATACTAAATTATTTCCACATATTGTTCTAAAATATATTCAGAATACAAATTATAGATGCAAGTTACGGTCTTTGTTCAGTGAGATGTTTTTCGGGCAATTACGGATCATGAATTATTCATTTCTATAAATGTGTTTTAAAAAATTTAAGTCTTGGTGTTCTAAAACATGGTACTTGCATATTTATCTACATCTTTTGTATGTATAAATTATACGCTAAAGAAAATTACAAAAAATGATTTTCAACCATTTTTAGCCATGACTTTACAATAAATATTTCAAGACCATATGGTAGAGGCTTTATGCAAGAGTACAGACTTTCCGCAAATATCGGATAACGTCATTAACTAAAAAAGAAAGAAAGAAAGAAAGAAAGAAAGAAAGAAAGAAAGAAAGAAAGAAAGAAAGAAAGAAAGAAAGAAAGAAAGAAAAAAAGAAAGAAAAAAAGAAAGAAAGAAAGAAATAGAAAGAAAGAAGGAAAAAAAGAGAAAGAAAGAAAGAAAGAAAGAAAGAAAGAAAGAAAGAAAGAAAGAAAGAAAGTTGTTGCGTCCATTTTCTAATCGAGAAAGTTATCAAGTAAATTTATAAGATAATTATATTCATCTTAAATATAACTGAGCCGCGTCACGACAAAACCAACATAATGGGTTTGCGACTGTTCGTTAACAGTTTCTCTAATTGCTATAGGGTTTGTAAGCGAACAGCATGGATCCTGATCAGACTGCGCGGATGCGCAGGCTGGTCCAGATCCATGCTGATCGCAAACCCATTATTTTGGTTTTGTCGTGACGCGGCACATATTAGAGCATCATCGGATTGTCTGCAGTTTAACAGGATTCTTTCGCATAATCTTTTAACTATTGTATTTTTTTTATTTAAAAAATTTAATACGGGTTTTAAATATACATTTTGCGTATATAACAAAGGGGCTATTAAATAAGGAGTAATAATCTTCATACTAAAGAACGCAATGTAATTAAATATCCTTATTGTATACAGTTTGTGTTACCTTAAGTTTAGATGAAATGAAATATATATAAAAAATACACATTTTCTATAATATTAAGGTTTTTAAACAACAACAAAAAAGAGAGAAAGAAACATAAAAACAATCAATAAATATAAGAAAAAATATGTTTTGCTATATGTAATTATTTCAGTGACATTATGCTCATATTTCCATAGTCAAGTTGAGCTGAATTGACTTTATATTTCAAAAGATTGACTGTATAAATGGCGTTTGGTCAACATCGAGAAAGTTATCAAGTAAATTTATAAGATAATTATATTCATCTTAAATATAATTGAGCCGCGTCACGACAAAACCAACATAATGGGTTTGCGACCAGCATGGCTCCAGACCAGCCTGCGCATCCACGCAGTCTGATCAGGACCCATGCTGTTCGTTAACAGTTTCTCTAATTGCTATAGGGTTTGTAAGCGAACAGCATGGATCTTGATCAGACTGCGCGGATGCGCAGGCTGGTCCAGATCCATGCTGGTCGCAAACCCATTATTTTGGTTTTGTCGTGACGCGGCACATATTAGAGCATCATCGGATTGTCTGCAGTTTAACAGGATTCTTTCGCATAATCTTTTAACTATTGTATTTTTTTTATTTAAAAAATTTAATACGGGTTTTAAATATACATTTTGCGTATATAACAAAGGGGCTATTAAATAAGGAGTAATAATCTTCATACTAAAGAACGCAATGTAATTAAATATCCTTATTGTATACAGTTTGTGTTTACCTTAAGTTTAGATGAAATGAAATATATATAAAAATACACATTTTCTATAATACTAAGGTTTTTAAACAACAACAAAAAAGAGAGAAAGAAACATAAAAACAATAAATAAATATAGGAAAAAATATGTTTTTGCTATATGTAATTACAAGTTGAGCTGAATTGACTTTATATTTCAAAAGATTGACTGTATAAATGGCGTTTGGTCAACAGTATATATTGGAAAATGTTTATGATAAATTCAAAATCTGGCTAAAATATTAAAGGACTGAGCCAACTTTTTTATAAATTGAACGTTACAGGTAAATTCTAGATGATATTTACAGAAATTTCGTTTAGATTCGGGGGTTATTTATTTTTTATGCTAAGTAAATCATTTAATAAAAAAGAAGTATAGCTAAATGAAAATTTATTTTGACTCTCCCCTATTCACTCACTATATACCTTTAGATGGGCATAATGTTACTTTAATATCACTTATAAAGAACGTATTGTCTTACTTCATTATATGCAATTGATATATATTTTCTCTTCAATAAGTACGCAAAATCTTTACACCGATTATTTGATTAAGAATAAAATAATATAAAGCAATAATAGCAATATAAATTATAATAGCAATTTAATATAAAAGATTATAACCGCAAGAACAATTTTCTTACTTTCACATGTTGAAATGATAACGGCAAATATCCACGCACAAGTTAAATTTTTTCCTCTTTTCCTTGCACCCATCTTCTTTAAAGGTGTCCTGTTGATTGAGCGTTCATCGGTAAATATAGATGTTTTTATTCCACGCGCCAGCCAGTTGAAACAGATGGGTTTAAACATGTTACCAAAAATAAAAACATTTTACTTATTTTAACAATGAACCAATTAAATCGCTCGATTGGTGGCCATTGATCAAAACAATTTAAAAGTTTGGGTACGTCACAGTTTGTGACTGGATTATGAAACGGTGACGTGGGTAGATGTTATTTAAAAGCCATTGGACTGATTGAATAATAGAACAACATAATCTAAAAAAAGGTGAAGTTTATTGACGAACGTAGATATTTTTTTCTTCTTAAAAATAGATATATTTACGAAAATAAATTGCAAAGCATTACATAATTATCAAAATAAGCTGATCTTTAGTTAATATATACCTAAACTCCGGCAAGGAGATATTGTTGTTTTCTCTATTGCGGGTGTACCTAATAGTAGTGATGCTCTTACCGCAATTTATAAGCCACAAAAACGAAAAAGGCCAAATTTTTACGACAATAACAGTGTTTATGATAAAGCGATCATAGTTCCTGTTTTCAAAATAACCGTCCGACTCAGAAATTAAACATTTCTAATCAAGTATAGTTTCTCCGTTAAGTATATTTCTGTTGTTGTTTTTTCTGGTGCCTTGTAATAGATTTCAAATGTCTGAAATAACTGAGTTTAAATAGGAATATCTTATATGAATAAGATATTTAAACGCAAACAAAAGATATATTCATATATAATTATTTTTCACTTTTAAAATATGCGTGACTTATCCTATTGCTTTTCTTAATGTCAAAATGTTTGAAAATGTAGAACAAATACGACGAGACTTTTGTATTTGTATATATAAGGAATTTATAGTAGGAAGAAACACGCATATATTGCGTGTTATATATAGACCAGAATAAAGCGTTAGTCATGCTTTATTAATTAGATAATACAATGAATGAAACTAAATGAATTTTCTCAAAATAATGATGTTCATTCATATACGTATTTATTTGAATAACAAGTAAGCAAACGCGTTCTTAAATCTAGCCGTTCAAATATATACATGTACGTCAACGGATTAAAAATGCGCATCAATAATAATAATAATAATAATAAAAATAATAATAAGAATAATAATAATAAAAATAATGATAATAATGATGATGATAGTAATGATAATAATAATAATAATAATAATAATAATAATAATAATAATAATAATAATAATAATAATAATAATAATAATAATAATAATAATAATAATAATAATAATAACAACAACAACAACAACAACAACAACAACAACAACAACAACAATTATGATAATAGTAAAAACTAGGTCTTATCTGGGTTCATTCAAAATGATAATTATAAGTACATTTTCGCTTCTCCGCCTGTTTCAAACGAACTTAAAAGGTGTTACAGTGTATATTAAATAAAGTGTACTTTAATACTTAAAATGATAAACGGTATATAAATAATACAACCGCCGATCAAAATCCACTCAAAAGGTTCCCGCAAGGACATGACCCATTCCATTAATTAAAATTAAGGACACAAAGAGCACGTTCATAATTTATATCGTATCGAACTAATTGTACTTTAAGGTTGGCATCTTTTAGGGATATAAAAACAATTATGTCTTTAACTTGATACTAGGTGCCAACGTATACGATTTCATTGAGGTGATGAAACGATTTAAATATGCAAATATCCATATTTAACCTCAGGTCCCCGGCTTTGTTCCTGTCACCAAACGTAAAGTTAGATGGACTAACGGCCAAATAATGACAATGCTGAAACGTATGAAGTATCGTATAACGCATAAACATGCGTTGAATACAATTGCTTCGGAAATAGGACAAATTCGATCTACCATATACGATTTTTATGCTCCCCAATAGAAAATATCTGATGTTTCAAGCGTGGACACGCAACATTCAGTAACAGACATTTATCTAATTAACCTCATTTCATTGGACACGTGCGACCGCTTTAAAAACTTATTTACTTATACCTGATCTAATAAAACGTTTTATTTTGTTGTTGTTGTTTTGTTGTTTAGCCTTACTGTGGTTAATACCAAGTCTCCTGAAACAAGCACTGGTAAGTTCGTGTAAACGCACTTTGAAGTAATTCAAATAAACCTCTGTTTCTAACACTCAAGCTACAATAATCATAATTTATGTTTTAACTGAAAATAACCCGTAAAGCTGCATGTCTCCAGAAGACAAAATATTTCATGAAAATCAAACTTGGGAAAATTGTACTAACACTTTAAGAAAAGTAAACAAAAATAAAAATTCAAGTAATCATAAAAGTTTACATGTTGTATGCGATTAACAACTGATTCTGTAGTATCTATCACCATATTTTTACTGCTTGACAAACCCAGTAAAGGCTTTTTTTCTATTTTGACGCCTTTTTTGGTAATTTACACGGAGTATAAGTGCCGTTTGTAATGTGTGAATTACTTCCTTTCACAAAATTTTACTTTTATGTACATTTTCGAAATTTTCATTAAAATTAGCATTAGTCTGGAGGCATGCGGCTTTAACTAACTGAGCTACGGGTTAATGTGTTGTTGTTACATGCATTTCCGGCGGAAGTCAAAATCTGTCAGATGTACACAGCTCTATAAATATTGTTCGTCTGCCCGCCATGAGCCTTGGGGACATCAATAAATCCCCATTTGATTACAGAGAACATGTGCAATGAAAGGAAACGGTTGCATTTTCAGATATGCATAGTTGTGGTCTTCAACCGACATCCGGTGTACAACGGAAGTCTTCGATGGTGTATTGACAGTGTGTATTGACAGTGTGAGTACTCTTTCCTCTCTAGACATAGTGTAAAATATAGGCTAAATTATTTAATACAAATAACACTTATATGTAGTAAACATTTCAAACAATTAAAGGTCAAACGTTTAGCAAATATGATTTTGGTTTAAATTTTTTCTAAAACTAAAAGGTTGTTTTCAAACAATGTCCCAGTTTCCTTGAATAAATAGCGGACACTTATATTCAATATTCCAAAATAAATATATCCACTACACGAGAAAAGTTCTCGGATTATTTTGTGGTCAAAGTCAGATTTTTTGCTTTCTGTGTTCAGCAATTCAGGTGGTGTTATTCTGACAGGCTTTATTTAACGAATGTACGGTGCCACTTTAGTGCCATTGATCTAATACTGAAAGAGAGCGTACATTTTTACATTTATCTCACGAACCGAAAAAAATTAATGTATTTTATTTTATCTCACATGTCACATATTCCATTTTATCTCACAGATCGACAAGGGATGTAACATTTTCCATTTTATCTCACGAACAACAAGAAATGTTATATTTTCCATTTTATCTCATGAGTCGACAAGGAATGACACTTTCTCCATTTTATTTCATGAACCGATGAGTGATGTTACATTTTTCATTTTATCTTCTTTTATGAAGCTACAAGAGATGTAATATTTTAATTATATATCTTAAACCGGCAAGGGATAGTACATTTTATCTCATAAGCTACAAGTTATGTTACATTTTTACAATGTATATCATAAACAGAATAGTTATGCTAGATTTTCAATTCCATCTTACATAATGAATCTATATCAGATGTTACATTTTCCATTGTATCTCATGAACCGAAAAGTGGTGTTGTTTTTTACATTTTCCTTTTTTATATTATCTAATACAGTTAAAAGAGATGTTGAATTTCCATTTTATCTCAATGACCGACAAGAGATGTTACATTTTTCATTTTATTTTAATGACCGAAAAGTTCTCCATTTTGGTTTATACAGAATTTATTTCAGCTCGACTGTGTAGGAAGCTATAAGCTTATAGACAAACTTTCGAATCTGTTCCTGGAACCTACCAGTACTGAGCAATGAGTGTAAAGTTTATTGCTCAAGGAAACAAACGGCTGGCCCCTCACGGGATTTGAACCCATGCGGCTAGCGATCATTAGATTTTCCATTTTATCTTATCGCGTGAAGCTACCAGAGCTGTTACAGTTTCCACTGTATATCTTGAACCGACAAGGTGTGCATCTACCATTTTAACTTACGTAATGAAGTTAAAAGTGTTGTTACATTGCCATTGTATTTCATGAACCGAAAAGTTATGTTACATGTTCCATTTTATCTTATCTTATTGTCCAACAACATTGACCGGGCACTCTTGAATTTGACCCCATATTCGGTAAATTCCGTAAACGTTACTATCTATTTGTAAATCGATATGAATGTATATAGCCAGTTGTTAAATGTTCTAAATTACAAAACCCTCTTAGCGCAGTCGTTAAGGGCTTTCACTTTAAGAATATAGACGTACATTCGTAGGTTCGAATCCTGGTTCAGCCACTTTTATATTTTGTCTTTTCTTATTTTAAAATTGCCATTTCTCTCTTAACTCGTGCAAAACGTTTTGATTTTTGGTTGTGTATTCTATCTGTGTAGTATTTTAATTTGTATTATGAACGTGCCGTCCTTTTTATTAATTGTCTTATTGAAGATAATGTAATGAATAAAAAAAAAAAATAAAAACCACTACTGAAAAGGTATCCTAAAAACAAGATGTAGTAAAACGATTTCAAATTAATTCTTGCAAGTAAATTTCAAAATGAAATTTAAAAAATGCATGTCCTCATAACGTGGTGTTGATAAGGTATCAAACCAGGGAACTTCTAGATACCACTGTTTATCGCCTGACCTTTACGGAAATGAATGAATTACCAGGCCAATATTGTTGGACAATACATTTTTTCACAAACACAAACACAAAAAAAAAACCTGTTCTACTTGTTCAGAGAAACGTGGCGTGGCGCAAGTGATACTTTTTAGTGTCATTAATGTAATCCTTATGCATTTGTTTAATTTGTACAAGCGATATACTTTTTTGTGGCGCAAGTGTATACTTTTTTTGTGGAGCAAAAACAGTTTTCTCTTTGAGCAAAATAAAAAAGGTGTTTATTATTGTTAACAGGTTTATTTCGTGAACGCAAATGCTTTATCTCGTTATGCAACAGTCAGATATATGCATAATATTTTTTGCGCG